AGCAACTTAGTGAGACTCTGTCTCAAAATAAAAAATTAAAAGGATTGGGGGTGTTTCTCAGTGGATAGGCACTCCTTGGTTCAATCCCTAGTACCAAAAAAAATTTTTTTAAATGTAATAAAAGATGCTTCTTGCCAAAGACCAGATAGCCTCCAAACTGCTAAATCATTCAACATAAAAATGCTACCTGAAAAGGAATAATGATTATGAGTGAGATTAGTAGCTTTGGGTATAATTATATTGGTACATGATATTCATGGACAGCAGAAAGTACACCAAAATATGGTTTCCATCCCACCTTGAGCCAGTGACGCAATAAAGCTTTCCTTTGGCATCCCCTGTGTGTTATGGCCCAAGGGAGAACAGGTGGTTTCATCATAGTTGCCTTGGAAAGTTTTTCATTTTGTTTGACCCAGAACTCATTTCAAAATTCCACCAAAAATACAATCATTAATGCATTTGTAATCACATACCATAATATTTATTACAAGTGTTTGACATAAGTAAAGGGTATTAGCATTTTCTTTCAGGACTTCCTTTTTCCATTTCTTTTTATTATGTGTTTTTTTCTTATATCTTGTCTGCTTTACTGTTAGTTCCGTTCATCCTAAGCTTAGACCACATTTTTTTCTCATTTGTCTCAGTTCTAAAGAAAAAAAAGTGTTTCTCTGTGTGAACCACAGGGTCAGCTCTTAACTTCAGATTGAAACTGAACCCCTACACAAATACACACACTGATAAGTCAGAGACATTTCTTAACTTTCTGTTTTTGCATCTGTGTGTGTGTGAGTGAATGTGTTTCCTTACTTATGAAATTATATTGGTTTTTCCCATTTTATGATTAAAGAAACTGAATCAGAGAAAGCTGTGTTTCTTGCTTCAAACACAAGCCAAAATCAGAGTTCAGATTATTCTTTATTATCCACTAGTTCCTGCTTCATTACAAGAAATATCCCACTTATAAAATAGGTTGGGCTCAAGAAGTTTGTTTGTAAGTCAGTTATTTGGTACTTGATCTGCATTTTGCCATGGTGGAAAAAAAAATGTTTTAAATGGTATTAAGTCCCTCAGCTAGCCTACAAGAATCTATTTAACTCTTGTGTAACTACAAAATGTGTATTTGCACTAAAACTAAAAAAGAATGGTAGTTATGATTCTGCTTAAAAAGAAAAAGGGAAATTATTTTCCTTAGGGATGCATAGACTTAATTAGAAGGTAGAGAAACGGGTGAAAATAGTGGAGAGTTTAGGAGAGATTTCAAGGTACTTCTAAGGGTATTAGAAGTTGATAGCACTGTCCCAGTTTTTCCTTTAGAACTTTAAAGATGTTTGTTGTTGTTAGATGCTTCTTACTAACATAACTCACCCAACAATTGTGATTAGAATCAATGGGATTGACTGAATTAAATTAAAAAAAAAATAGATGATCTGAGATGGTGTATTAGCCAACCTGAGATGGTGAAAAATAAACTGGCAAACCAGTACTTCTTCCTTCTATCCTGATAGAAAAGGCAGGAGTTTTTTGTATTTTTTTTTTTCTTTTAGCCCAGCAGGTCCCATCAGTGGGGCTAGCTTGGCTGAGGTCTAGAGGCAGCTTTGGAGCACAGGTTGCAGGTGGAGGCTGGAGAATACTATGCTTTCAGTAGTTTCTGTGTGTGAAGTGTTTGTACCATGGCAGTTTCTAATTCTGGACAATCATTTCATTGATCTCATCTAGCCATTGCTTCCTACATTGTCTATCATAAAATAAACATTTTAAATTTCAGTTAACTTTTTAAAGAGGCCAGCCTTCTCTAAATGTCCTTTAATTTATATATATATATATATATATATAATATAGTTTTGCTTTGTTTTGTTTTGTTTTGTTTTCAGAGGATCAGCATGTAGCTCATCCTTTTAACAGCAAAAGGGAGGATATGTTCTTCAGTAAACAGAAGCTTAAGTGAGGGGCACATTTGGAAAGTGAATGAAGAATGATTACTTTGTGCCTCCTGGGCCAGATTAGTGTTCTTATTGGACACTATGCCTACTCTTCTCTCCAGCAAGTTGCACAATTCATTTAATTACTTTTGCTTTGTGTTGGACATATTAATTGAGTATTTTATACTGGTTATGTGTACCCAAGAGTGATTTTATGAAGGTTAAAGCAACTTTATATACTGCAATTCAGAATTCCACTAGGTGGTCATTATAAGAGGAAGTTTGGGGATTGGTAGGGAAAAGTAATTGTAATTAGGTAAGTAACAACTAATTGATTTTTAAAAATACTTTAAAATGTTTTTGTCTTTCTACTGAAATGATATTTAGGAAAATTTCTAATCCATACCTTAATTCCTGTATTTTTTATTATGTGATGCTTATTTAATTGAATGTGTGTGTGTTTTATCTGAAAGGTAAATAAACTAATAATGCTAAATTCTCATCCCAATACAATGATACCTCCTGGGTGCCAGTATTTAAAGTTTTTTGTATTCTTCTCGTATACTCTGCTCCAAAATACTCTAGTTGAGTAGTTGACACAGTAGGTAAAAATGTGCATTAGACTCCTCTTCATAGGTTTTTTGGTTTGGTTGCCATGTATTTAGACCAAAATTGGCTATCTGTGTTTATTTGTTTTTAATATTTATTTTTTAGTTGTAGGTGGACACAATACCTTTTTTTTTTTTTAATGTGGTACTGAGGATCGAACCCAGGGCCTTGCATGCACTAGGCGAGCACTCTACCACTGAGCCACAATACCAGCCCCTGTGTTTCTTATCAGAGGTGTGGAGAGACTGGAGAAAGATTTCTTCAAAATCTGTTTTGTCTGCTTAGAAGTAGTGAGCCAAAGGTTAGTGAGCCCAAAGTATGTACCCAAAGTACCGTGCCCAAAGGGTTCGTGAACCAAAGTATGGTTTTCTTTTTTTCTTGTTGGCTTTCATGTATAGGTTAAGTAGACCAGTGGCATTTAATGACCTGTTTTTCTTACTGTGAATTTGCAGATTTTGTTTTTATGTTTCTTAGAGGAGGTGGGGTGAACTAGCAGAGAAGAAGGAGTTTGTCTGTTTTTGTCCTTGTTTGTTGACTAGACAAGCATCCTACTAGTAATTTGAACATGTAAGGGTTTTCCTTTATATTGAATGCCTGAAGCCTTTGGTGAAAGGAAAAAAAAATGTAAGGAAAAAACTTTCATCTGAGGCAGATCTTACAGTAGTATTGTCACAGAAGAAACTAAAGGAGTCCTGGAGAGGGAAACCTCAACTCAGAATGAGTTGGGTCCTGGACAAACATCACAAAAATGAATTAAAGGACATTAGTTAGAGGCACAGAGATTTATTTAGGAAAACAAAGAATACATGTTTGAGGGAAAATGTGGCCCATCTCCAGAGTGAGAGATGCTCTTGGGGTCTGAGATTCTTTTTTTAAAATGAAACTTGGTGAGGGATGGGAATGGGAAGGTTTGTGAGGATGACATCAGTCTGGTGAACACAGGATGGTTTAGGTCGGTCTGGTCATGTCCAGGCTCCTTAGGTTGGTATGGTCTCCATTATCTGATCAGTAGATAACTGGAAAGTACCCTAGATTATAGGTTTCTTAAAATATCATATGTCTCTTTGTTTAATCTATTTATTGCATGGGTGAATTTTGATTACACTGAGTGATTTTTGGAAGTGAATGAATTTATGGTAACTCTATGATTTATGTATTTCCCAGAAATGTGGGAGTGACAGGCCTGGGAGAAGAACTAATTTGGGGAGTAACAGGCCTGGAAAGGCATGTGAAACTTCAGTTTAAAATTACACTTCCTTGTTCTTCCTTTTGTCTCCATTCTACCTATCTTTTTATTTCTTCTATCCTACCTCAGTATCATTTTTCTCATGTATGAGCAATGTTACCTATTATGTATAAGAAAACATATTAATACATTTATGGACAACTATGTAATATGGTTAAATTTTTAGCATTATAGTCATTGATGGAAAAAGAAGGAGAAAACTTGTGCATCTTGTATTTTGATTGTAAGAATTCTTAGCTAATTTTCATTTTCTTTTGTTTATTCTTATTCTTTGACTTAAGTAATTTGGAAGAAAAGTCTTATGGTTTTGGGGCTTTTCTAAAGCATAAAACATTTGAAGATTATTCACATTGTTTTAACCTGTTCAACTGATGCCTTCAGGTCCTTCATTTTGCCCATCACTCTTCAGTCAGAACACCTAAGCATCCCTAAATATTCTAATTTCTTTTTTTTTTAATCTTGTGACCTGAATGCATAATCTTTTTTTATTTGTTATTTTTAGTTATACATGACAGTAGAATGTATTTTGACATATTATACATATACAATATGTATATGTATAATATGTCATATTAATGAATAAGAGTACAACTTCTTATTCTTCTGGTTGTACATGATGTGGAATTACGTTGGTTGTGTATTTATATGTGAACATAGGAAAGTTATGTCCAATTCATTCTACTATCTTTCCTATCCCCATTCACCGTCCCTTCCCTTCATTTTCCTTTTCCTAATCCAAAGTACTTCTATTTTTACACTCCCCTTTATTGTGAGTTAGTCTAAATATTCTAATTCTTAACACATTCTTGCATGTCTAAAATGAGAAGAGAAGAAAGGCACTGGGGGGAGAGGTGAGGTGGCAGATAGGTGGGGATAGGAGAGTGTTCTTTTTTTCTAATTTTTTTTATTAGTTGCTCAAAACATCACAATGACATATCATACATTTGATTCAAATGGGGTATGAATTCTTATTTTTCCACGTGTACAGATTGCAGTATCACATTGGTTATACAGCCACATGGAGAGTGTTCTTAAAATGCACCAGTATCTGGAGGAAAGAACAGTGCCTGAGTGTTGGCTGGTTCCATTGCAGATGCTGCTGGGTTTCTACCATGGTGGAACAACTTACTGCAAAAACCCTTGTGTTCAAAAAGCTCTTTTTAGATATCTTTCTTTTCTTTTTTATGTATTTGCTGACCTGCTTATAACTAGATGATTTTCTATAGTTTTCTTTCATAGGGTCAAGAAATCAGAGCATGGCTATGAGCAATGGAAACAACGATTTTGTGGTTCTGAGCAATGGCAGCATCACAACCAGTGCTACCAATCCTGGTCCCTTCACCCCCTGCGATGGAGACCATGCAGCCCAGCAGCTCACACCCAAAGAAGCAGCAAGAACAAAAGTGAGTCCAAATGGATGCCTGCAACTTAATGGCACAGTTAAATCATCCTTTCTGCCTTTAGACAACCAAAGAACACCTCAGATGTTATCCCAATGCTGCCATCCTTGCCCATATCATCACCCTTTGACCAGCCATAACAGTCACCAAGAGTGCCATCCCGAGGCTGGCCCTGCAGCACCCTCTGCTTTGGCCTCCTGTTGCATGCAGCCACACTCAGAGTATTCTGCATCTCTGTGTCCAAACCATTCACCTGTGTATCAGGCCGCGTGCTGTCTTCAGCCCTCGCCATCCTTCTGCCTGCATCATCCGTGGCCTGACCATTTTCAGCATCAGCCTGTGCAGCAGCACATAGCCAACATCAGGTGAGTCTTTGAAAGTTTTGCTTGCCTTTAGCATTCAACTGATTCCATCTGGATGTGACTGCTTATATTTATTTCCCCAAAAGGAGGAGAGGAAAATGTGTTGGGAAACAAAACTAATAATAATGCTTATTTTATGGATTGTGTGAAGCCTACTAAAATGCAAATGAAATAATATATCTTATCCATTGGCTTCTTGGTCCATTAAATTCTTCCTTCCTTTTTCCATGTCTACAACCTGGCTATACCTGAGTTACAAAGTTCAGTAAGATGTTTTATTGTTAACAGTTCACACAGAGAAATGCACAGATCTTTAAATATGCAGTTTGATCAGTTTCAGCAAATGTGTACACTAGTATAATCCATATCTTAGCCTGGTGTAGCTAGCATATTTCTGTCCCTCTCTCAGTCATTCCCTGCCCCAGACATCATCTCTGCTCTGAGTTCTGTTACCACTGATTTGTTTTGTCAGCTCCTAGAACTTCATACAAAGTCATATGCAGCATTTATTCTTTTGTTTTGGGCAATTTTTGCTCAGCATAAAGTTTTTGAAATTGATCTATTTCTGTGTGTATTAATTTTTCTTTTTCTTAGTGAGTAGTAATCCGCTTGTTGCATGTAGCAAATTCTCTTATAACTAAAGAGTCATATACAGAAAGAGATTAAGTGATAAATACTTTTCACCTTTATCAGATTTTACATATTGAGATTATGTATTTTAATCTTAGAGGAATAAAAAAAATGAGAGAACAGGGTAAAGTGGGTTGGGAGAGGGGTAGAAGGGACAGTCCTCTGCAGCATGTTTCTGTAGTTTCTGAATATATTTCCATATGGACATAAGAACCTCATAGTTCTAGAACCATGATAAGAAATTCACCAAATTCATTATATTATATGATATAAATGTGATATATGTTATAATGATATATATATAAAATCACAAATTAAATGGTTCCAGAATGTGAGATGAGATGAATTGTTCTGTTTTAAAGCTGAACTCTCCTTTAAAAAGTCATAAAGTTAGTAACTATGAGCAAATAACCAATTCTTTCAGTATACCAGGTTGTGCCAAGATTCTCAGGATTTTTCACTTAGCATTTCTTTAATGATCTAATTTAAAACATGATCTAATTTAATTTATTGAGAGTGCTATGCACACTTTAAGTAATATGGTATTAATAAAACAGAGAAGTGGGTGACTGAGCTCACCACTGCCTGTTTTTTTGGCCCTGAGGCCTCAATAGTCATCGTGAACTTACTTCATATTGTGCATGACCACTGGGCTCATATATTTGTTCCTATGAGATTTGTCTTAGGATTTTAACTGGACAAAAAGAATGAAGAAAAGCTTACTGCCTTCTGGAATAAGAGTCTGTTATTTAAAGTGAAAATGAGACCTAATGAAGAAGTTACCTGAAAATAAAAGATTGTAACTAAATTACAGAATGTTCACATTTTAAAACACTGACAGTATTTAATATGAATGAACAAAAACTCATAAAAATACTATATTTGTCCATCCAGAAGACTTGTTTAAAAAAAAGTGGAAATTGATGAAGGAAATTTTTCTTATTTCAAATTTTATCTCAAAATTTTGAGCCTTTTGATTAACTATTTGTTATAGTCTTTTAAAGGTACTTGCAAAGGAAAGGTACAAGTCCAATTGTGTATATCATACACTTTATTGTGTTCAAGCATTACTTTCCTATTTTGTATATTTATTTGTTCAACAGTATTTAGTGAATACGTACATGTGCCAAGCACTGAGGATATAATTCTAAACAGATTAAGGCTTTTCCCCCCTTCATTCTATAAGATAGTAGGAAAGAAGACAGTAAATCACACAGCTACAATATTGTGATAAGTACTACCAAGAAGGAACACACAGGGGTGCAGATGAATAGAAGTCAAATGAAGAGAGAAAAAGGGGGTTGTCTTTCTTACAGGTAGCAGGAACAGTTCCTGCCTAGACTTATAAGGTAGTGTGGGCCCAACTCCAGCAGACTTCATTGTGCCTTGACCTTGATGGAAAAGTAGTAGCAAGAGGAGAGATATCCTGAGATCAAGTCTGGAGGAAATTTTAACCACTTAAGGAGTACTGGGCTTTATCTGCAGGCCATTTGTGGACCTGTTAGAGATTTGTTGCCTAGCATGCAGGAGGTCCTGAGTTCAATTCCCAACACTGCAAAAAGAAAAGAAAAGAAAAAAAAAGGAGGGGTGTGTGTGTGTGTGTGTGTGTGTGTGTGTGTGTGTGTATTCTCATAATGGTAAAATATACATAACATAAAATTTATCATTTTAACCATTTTAAGTGTTCAGTTCAGTGGCGTTTAATGCATTTTCATTGTTTTACAACTGTCACCACTATCCATATCCAGAACTTTTTTATCATCTTCCCAAACTGAAACACGGTACCCACGGAACACTAACTCCCCATTTACCTCTCCTCCAGCACTAGGCAACCACCATTCTACTTTCTGCCTCCTTGGATTTGACTATTCTTGGTACCTCATATAAGTAAAATCATATGCTATTTGTTCTTTGTGTGTGTGTGTGTGTGTGTGTGTGTGTGTGTGAGATTGGTTTATTTCACTTAGTATAATGTCTCCTTAGCCACATTATACTATATGTCAGAATATTCTTCCTTTTTAAGGCTGAGTGATATTTTGTTGTACCTATATATCACATTTTGTTTATCCATTCATTCATTGAAGGCAATTTGCATCTTTTGCCTATTGTGAATAATTCCACTATGAACATGAATATGCAAATATCTGTATGAGTTTCTGCTTTTAATTCTCTGGGGCATATGTCCAGACCAGAGGTAAAATTCCTGGATCACTTGGCAAATCTCTTTTTTTAACTTTTTGAGGAATTGCGATACTATTTTACAAAGCATCAGCACCATTTTATATTCCCACCAAAGTTCCAGATTTTCATATCCCCATCAACACTTGCTATTTTGTCTGTTTCATCTTATTTAAGAATTGTCATCCTAATGGGTATGACACTACAGATTTTTGAGCAGAAAAGGAACACTGTCATCTTCATTCTGGAGAGTAGATTAAATCAGAATTGTTATGGATAGGAACACCATTAGAAGGCTTGCTGCAGTAATTCAGGTGAGAGATTGGTGACTTGAACCAGGATTTAGAAGTAAATTCCTTCCAGGGAGATTAGAAGGTAGAATAGACTGGATCTGGTGGATAATTGGATATGAGGTGGATATGGGAAGGAAGGAAAAGTCACATTTGATTTTCAGTTTCTTGGCCTGTACTGGAGGGATAAATAGTAATGTCATATACTAAAATGGGGAAGAGAGGTAAAGGGTCCTAAGTGAACAGAGTGGAGGCATGGAATTTCCTGGGGAACTGGAATTTGGTGATAAATGGTATTAAAACAGGATATAAGTTATAACAGTGAGTTTCCTTCAGAGAATTAGGATGCTATGCAATACATAATGGCAACATTGAGGACAACGATCCTGGTAAGGGTTATCTTAGACTGAACTCTGAAGAGCTTAAACTCAAGCCAGCAGGTATTTATTTGCAGGATTGTGCTCTGGGCTAGGACCTGAGCCGGATGCTGGCTCCCTTTTTCCATCCAGTAAGATAGCCACAAAGCATATTTGGATGTGGACAGAACTGCTATGTAAGGGAAAAGAGAGCAGTTTGGGTGAGTCTGAACAGAATGTCCTTAGTATAGAAATTCTGAAAATGGGAATGTAGTGATGTTTTCTGCCTTTCGTTAATTATTCTATTCAGCACTTTTAAGAAATTTTTGGAACAAACGTTCTAGAAGCTGAACTCCATCAGGCACTTAAATTTCCTAATTCTTTTTAGTTTGCTTCATGATGATTTATTGCATCTTGATTTTTTAAGTTTTTGTTTTAAAATCAATAACATCAAGTACTTAATGAAGTATTGTTCAATTACTGTTTAAGGTGCATTCATGACTACACATTATTTTAAAGGATATCTTAAAAGTTGACAGTCTTACAGTAAATTGCAGGGATGGAGGGTCCCAAGTGCTTTGGTTTGTTATTGCTATTTGCACATATACCCAAATGGGCCCATCTGTTTAGTATTTTATCTTTAATGTTTTCATTTATTTATAAAGCACTTAAGCCATCAAGAATGTTTTAAAGAGTCAGTCAAATAGATACTAATTTTAACCTAGTCTATTTACTACTTACTTGAATATGTTCATGTTCCTATTTCTCCTCCTCCCTTTGTAATACAGTAGGGTCTTTTTCACTTCCTCTTGATTCTTTAAGCTCTAATCTTTCCAAAAGATTCATTATGTTGATAACCTGTGTGTTATTTTTGTCTTTGTAAAATTCTTTTGTAACATCTGATCAATAAAATTAAGATAATTGCAGAGATCACATTTGGTATATCCTATTTTAACACTACGTATCATCATACTACCAACTATAAAGTAGCTTAAATTGATTTCATTTTAAAGTTTCAGACTTTTTTCTTTGTAGATTCCTAGTCTCATATTCATTGTTCAATCATTAATTAACATGACTGAGAACAGGAGTAATTCAAAAGGCAGAGTATCTTCCTATAAACAAGACTTGTGCTTATACCAGCAGGTGCTAAACCTAGCTATCTATCCAGTCACCTGGGGAGTTGAGGATAAGACATTTATTTTGCTGTAGAAACAGTAAAGAATTGTAAGAGTTCAGAGGTGGAAAGGATCCCTGCAGGGTAGTGAAACTTAGGGACAGTCGGGCTGAGGATAGAACTAATGTGGGCCTTGAAAGATTGCTAGGAATTAATAAAGGGACCACAGCAGGAAGAACATGGAAGGTGGGAGAAATTCATAGGAGAGAGCTTGCAAAAATAAAGGCATATTTAAGAAGGAGTAAAGAGAACAGGGCTGTTGGAGTGGAGGATCTTTGGGGATGAGAATGAGCTTTTCCTACATCCTGAACACAGTCCAGCTGTCTAAAAGGCTGCATGGTAATGATCTGTTCTTTATCCTCCAGAGTTGGAAAATGCCTCTCAGAACCCAGTCACTTTCATATATGCTTGTTGAAACAAGTTGCAAATAATTCATTTGGAATCTTTTTGTTGCTTTATTAAAATGAAAGGATAATAGTATTATTGCAGAGTAAATAAGAAGCTCTGTATCCAAAAATAGCCTGAAAGATTTCTAATCTAAACTAAACTTACTTTTTAATTTGGTGTTGCAAAGAAATGTTCTTCATCATAACAGTATCCATGGACTCATTATCATGATAGGGAACCTGTGATATTTTGGGGTACCTGCCAGATGGATTTTTATGTCTCTGAAGGTGATTTCACAGACAGATGGTCACTTTGAATGTTTCTTGTGGCACAGTGGAAGAATTAGAGCTATATAGACTTAGAATGCTTGACACAGAGAGGATAAAGAACCCTATCCTTATCTTAGTCTCTTAAAAGTTAACTGAACATTGTTTTTGCCATCCCATACATTGCAACTGCATGGTTCTTCTCACCTGTATTTCTTTTATTCTTCAGCTCTTTATTCCTTTACCAATTTCTGACTCACTTTTCCCATGTTTTCTTTTTGTTTCCCCTCAGAACATTCATGATTTTCTGTGAAGGAACATCTGTTTTCCTAAAAGAAATGAGAATTTGTGTGCTATTTTAAAAGATACAGAATCTACCACTTGAATTCTTATTCTCATATATAAATTGTATCATAATATCCAGAGGAAAAATTATAGATACCTCTGAGCATCATTTTTCAGTATCTGTCTTACTTTCCTGCACCTGGCCTACAGAGACCCACATTTTCCATTTCCTTATTCCTGGTGATGGTGTTATTTTGTTTAGCCAGAAAATTTAAATTAAAACAAATCACTCTGAACACACATCAGCATTGTGTCCTGAACCACAGCGTTGACATAGATCTCAGCATCTTTGCTTTACCCAGATCATCCAGAGTCAATCTCAGGGCTTCTCTAAGATGTTAGAGCAATGAACAGAGAGATTCAAGATTACTTATTCACTAGTTTAGCAAGTATTTAAGTAGTAGTTAGTGTCAGGTGTTGGAGACACAGATGAAAACTGCAAACCTGGTCCACAACTTCAAAGATATGAGAACAGTGTGGACAGGTAAAGCACATAGGTTTCAACATGGGCTGACCACAGGTAGATTATCATCTTTGATCAGTACAAATTTATAGAATCACTGCTACATCCTCTGGAGCATAGAAGGTAAATATAGTGTTTATTTCAGAGCAATGGACCAGGTTTATATATTAATACAAAAAGGAAACTAAACAATACAGTTCTAAAAATTCATATCCTCCTCTTATAGTGAAATAGTAATTTATCTTTATTTCTTGATGTAAATCATTACATCTCTTGGACTGCTGGGAAGGTGTCTTTTGCAGGAAAGAATAGTTAAACTTCATTCTTGGACCTTTGCTATTCAGTAGGATCCAATAAAATTAAAAATTTAATTCTTTTGTCACACTAGCCACATTTCAGGTACTCAGTAGTCATATGTGGCTAGTGGCTACCATATTGGACAGCACAATGTAGAGCATTCCCATTATTACAGAAAGTTCCATTGGACAGGGCTATGTGTCTTGGCTCTGTAAAGCAACTAAGATCTCTTTTCAATCTTCTTGGGAGCAAATAGAACTCATATGATGTACAATAGCAATATTTGTCAGTGAATACCCTTGTGTCAACATAATTCCAGTTAATTGGGATTTGATTGCTTATCTTTTGTTGAGTAGATAATAAAAAAAAATCCCTTTTCTTCAAAAATTTGAAGGACTAAAGCCCTATATTAGGAAAAAAGTATACAATAGGCAAGCATATCTTTCAAAATCTTCCCGAAGCCACAATTACATCCTACAAAAGCCACCCCACATCATTATTTCAATATCTTGAATGCAAAGTTATCAGCTTATTCAGTTTCTAGTTGCTTAGGATTTTGGTAAGTAGATCAAATATAGATCATAGTTTTTCTGAAGGGTAGATAAGTGTAGTGAGGCTCTAGTAGCAATCATTGGTGCGATATTCTAACTCTTCTTTTTCATGCCTCCACTTCTCCTTTCCTCACTATACAATATACAAGAGCCTGGGCTTTGGAAGATACACTGCATTTGAATCCTGGCCCTGCCATTTATTATCTTTGTCATCTTATATAAATATTTAATTTCTCCCAACCTTAGTTTCCATCTCTGTAAAAATGGGAATAACAGTAGCTGCCCTGCACTTAGCACAATACCCAGCAGCACCGTATATTAATTTCCCTTCTCTTTTAATTTTTGTTCCTTTCTTTTCCTTCTCTTAATTTGTTGTTGCTTGCTGCCTGTATTTATTCGTGCTGGTATTGTTTTAGTAACAAAGCTATTATTGAGTCCTGGCTTAAATAAATACATGATGCATCCCTTTTCATTGTTCGTTATAAATCATACACTTCATTCACTCCTTCAACATATTGGAAAGAGCAAATGGAAAAGAGGGTCACTAATTTGCCTTCTAGAAAAGGAAAAGGGGTTGTTGAGAAGGTTTTCCATCTCCAGTGATTCAAGGCCTTCATACTTTATACCAATTACATAATCTGATTATGATAGTTCTATAGTTATTTTAGAAGAAGTCTGGTAAGATTTAATCTAGATTTTATGGAAACCAAGGTTTATTTTTACATTCCTTAAAGTAGTCAAATTAACTTTTTAAAAAGGGATAATGTTTGTAAAATTTAAAACGTTCCAAGCTTGCTTGCCAAAGCCAGTCAGTTTGGCAGTCAGATTGAGTGAAGGCCTTTTTTATTAGGAGGACTTCTTTTAGAGATTTCTTTATATTATAAATGAGCAGATTTTACAGTGCTTTGCCTCATGGAATGCACTGCACAGTCTGTAATACATTTCAGAATATGAGCCTTGGTCATCTTTTACTTTAATAATAAATGTCAAGAAACAATGCCTTCTTTATTTCATAAAATTAATTAATATAACATTTTGGAAAGAAGTGAATGTATTCTTTAATTACTCCCTTTTCTTATTGCTATTAGTTGTTTAGCAGGTACTGAAGAGTGAAGGGGAAAAAAAGCGGTTCGAGTGATTTTTTTCCTTTTGGTTAAAAATTCAGGTTGTAAAGGTTGTAAAATGTTTGGCAAACATAAGATGTAATAAAAAGACATTGTTACAGATCAGTTACATCATTAATTCCAGGAAGAAGGCAATTGTTATCTACTGCAAATTCTTTCCAAACTTAAGTTGCATTGTTAGGTATAATTCAAGCAAATTTATAGAACTTAACATTTAAAGGAGAAATTTGATTGCTGTACTTTTCAGCAAAATGGACTGTACAAAATTATATTTTTTTTTGTTTTAACACAAACCAGATATTCAACTGCTTGCTTGGTATTTTGGTGTTTTAAATATAGCCTAGTGCCAGGGGTCTATTTAGGCTTCAATAAATATTTGTTGAATGAATGATTATGAAAAATATTTCTTAAAATGTGTGTGTGTGTGTGTGTTTGAAAAATGTACAAAGCTTTAAAAAAAACTCATCAAATTTGATCAGTGTGATCAAGCAGCTTAGATAGTCAATTTGGGCAAAAATAACCTTACTCTCTGAATAACGCAATAAGTGTTTAGAGGGTTATGTGAGTCTCAGAGAGGGTGATAGAGATAGGTGGGTTATGATGCTTTTCAAAAATGGACAAGGATCCAGCTGCTGAAACATGGGAGCAAGACACCTGGAGGAGCCTGGAGCAGAGCAAGGCAAGCTCTCTTCTTCATCTGGAAAAGGGCCAGAGGGGCATCACTACAGGGCATTCATTTCATTCCACATTTACAGATTATGCTATAGTTAGTCCATGAAGATTGCTCCCTGAAACAGTGGATTCTGAATCTTGGATAATCATCATAAAGCATTTATTAAGTATCTAACTACTTTATATGTAGTTATATAATCCTAATACCTTTGATTGACAGATATTGCCCTCAGTTTGTTAAACCATTTGTATGTGTACGTGTGTGTTATGTTGTGTTATGTATGCTGGTGTATCTCCCAGGCCTAGTGAGGTGCATAGTATTTGTTAAACTCTCAGAAATTAATTGTTGAATGAACTGAATATATCATTGAGCATCAGTCAAGTCCTTATGGAGAGTTTGATTTTATGGCATGATAATTTGATAATGAAAATCGGGTACCACGTGTCTAATGCACATAGTGAGATATTTCCCAGATAGTGGGAGAAGGTGCAAAAGGCTTTGCTTCCTTTATTTATTGTTTGAATCTGTCTTTGGGTTACCTCCTTCTCTCCTGTAAATCTCCTCACCCCAAATGCATTGACATTTTTTGTTGTTTCTTGTTGTTGTTTGTTTTTGTTTTTGTTTTTGGTACCAGGGGTTAAACCCAGGGCACTTTACCACTGAGACACATTCCCAGCCCTTTGTATTTTTTATTTTGAGATGGAGTCTCACTAATTTGCTTAAGGCCTCTCAGAGTTGCTGAGGCTGACTTTGAATTCACAATCACCTGCCTCAGTCTCCAGAGTTGCTGGCACTACAGGCAAGTATCATTGTGCTCAGCAATACCCTGATTTTTTTTAAAAAATCATAGCCTCCTTTGTGACGAGAAAAGAAATTAAAAGTAGATGTGTAGTCCACTACTATTACAGCTCTTGAGCTTCCTTTTTGTTGGATTTCTGGATACACTTTGAGGGCAAAAATGGGGAGGGGCCTGGTGACCCTGGGCCTATGTCCTAGGGAGAGCCAGACTGATTACAGTCTCTCTGCTCAATTCTGGTCACCTCCAGCATATTTGCAAATCTGATAAAAGTGGATTTATAAGCAACCAATAAATTATGAAGCTGAAGGATAAATCCTAAATTCCAGAATAAGGGATTGGGCTTTTCTTTGTTCATGTGTATTCTTTTGAATTTAGAAAGTCAATAAAACAAGACAGTCCAAAATTAAATTTGATGCTTTGTTCTGTGTAAATTTACTGGGTTAGTTGGTTTAAATAAATCAGTTCCTTTCCCCTGTTTGAATGGTATGTGATTTTGATAGACACTGTGCAGTTTGAGATTCAAGCATGATGCTTTCTACAGGAACATAAGCACTGTCTGTAAGCACTATTTTGTTGTGTCTAGTAAGAAGCAAAGATGGACAGTTTAGCATTTTTATTCCTTTGGATCCTATCTGTGTCTGTGGTCACTTGGACCTGCCTACCGCCACCTTCCTAAAACACTGCTTTCATTATGTTACTTTGCTTAGAAATATTCCAGTTTCCCCATACTCCTTGACCTGGCATTGAAAGTTTTCCTTTAGGGGATGGAGTATGCAAGGAAGCATTAGTTGAGGGAGGAAGAGTCTTCTAGCCCTGGACAGGAACGGGTGACCAATCTCAGTGAATAAGATTATTTTTAACAGATGATTTTCCTTGTACTTTAGAAGTTTAAATAGAAACATGACTGTTTATCTTTATTTTCACTTATGTATATAAGGGAAGCTATAGTAGGGAGATAATTCTTTTGGTCCTGGCCAATACTGAATGTTCTGGGTCTTTGGTTTTTAGCTGTTAGTTTGAAACTTTGTTTTTGAGCTGTCGCCATGACCAATCATATATATTACCAGAAACTAAAATTACTTCATTATAAAGCAATCCCTAGGAAAGATTTATTTAAATGGTATTAATTTATTATTAAAAAATCTTTCTTCTATTGCATAGAGTTAATTCTACATTGAGTTCCAAATTGTATTGTCCCCCTCCCCCACACCTCCTTACCCTTGGACCTCTTCCTCCTTAAATTTCTCATCGAGCAGCACCAGTGTCTGGTGAGTGTTTGGGCTTATGGATTGTAGAATTCCAGCATTCCATGCTCGTAAGTTAGTTAAGTTTAATAAGGTTTTCCTGGCTTTCTTATGGGCTTTTCTTGGATCTCTTATTAATGATTACTATTCACATCTTATTAAGAAAACTATATATTATACTCTCATTAAGCATGTTTTGTACAGGGCTCACAGCAACAGTCTGACATGGAAAGGCTTGAGTTTAAGGGTAAGTACTTTATAATTTAGTGTAACTTTAATGTAACACATGAGGCTGTTTGCTTTATAACTTCAACTAAACTATGCAGATTTTAATTCATGTGCTGAGGAAGAATGTTTTCTTTTAACCAAAGCTCCTTTTCAATCCTTTAAAAATATTTTTAATTAACAGTTGTTCCTTTCAGAATTCTAATTGCTTTAAAGTAGTTTCTTTACTGTTGCCAAAAAAAAAAAAAAAAAAAAAAAAAGGCTTTCTTAGATTACTCTTTTGGGGTGTGCATTGTATGAGACCAGAACCATGTGGTATTTTGACCTTTCATAGTGCCCTTCCTCTGCCCCCCTGATAAGTGGCAGAGACAAAATGTGTTTGAAAATGAATTTCCCATGCCCTGCTTCCCTCACCTTTCAGCAAACAGCAGAATAGCCACCTTTTAACTAGTGATCTGCTAGGCCTCAGAACTCATCTTAAGGAGAAATAATTAACTAATAGTATGACACCCCCTGCCATTCCCAACCTATTTTGTATAATATAATTCCTTTCTTGGTGACTTGAATAGTAATAGCATTATTTCTTGCTTCCTACTTATTTCGGACCTGGATCAACTAATAAAAGTAAAAACTTTTTTTAACCTGAACTGGAACTGAAGCTATTACATGAAATTCAGATTTGTTTCAGCTTTTGGAGTGGTTTTGAGTTTATGTGGTACAGGCAGAGATCATGTACAATTAAGCACAAAACATTTATTGCTTTTCTTTGGGACATCACAAAAATACTTTCAGGGGTTACCAGGCTTAGTTGCTAACTGAGATAACTGTTAACCAGATTCAGTGAATGTGCAGATTTGCCCTCAGCATTTCTGTTGAATAGACAATCCTTAAGTTTCAGATAGTTGTTTTTTTTTTTTTGCCAGAAAGTTTTGTTTGAGTTTGCATGGTGACTTATATGTGCATAAAACTGCACATTTCTATCATTTGATGCAATCTTTTAAGCTATATTCTTAGAAACATTCTTAATGTCTTTAAGGGAAAATTTGCAAATTATTTAACAGCTGCATTCGAGGTAAGTTTTTTCCCCCAGCTAATTAGTAGGCATTGAATGGTTAAGTGGGCTTTAAAGTAGAAGAGAGCAAATTCATCAGGAATGCCCATAGTCCATAGATACTTAAGCAGTTACTTGTCATTTTGAAACACATGCATTATTTTCTCCTTTACACTGGCATATTCTCATCAGTTATAAAGAGACTATAAATTTGTTTAAAAAGTAGAGATTGATTACTGTAGGATGGAATGGTCATAATCAGGTCTGCATCTTAAGAGAGATAAATTCAACACAGTATTAAAAATGATTTTTGGTATCATAGTTTAGAAACTAAATATTTAATTTTTCCTAGTTAAAATAACTAACCTAAGACACTATATTTACAAAACATGAATTAAAAGAGAAGCAATAATTCTTCATTATTGTGAATTAAGTCTGTAAAATTTAAATTATATTACAGTATACAATTAAATAGAACATTATAACTGTCCCATTGAGGTTTCAAGTGGGAAAAGATGAACATTTTGAAGTGATATACCTCCTCCTCTTACCTTACTAAAAATATGTAAGTTTTCTATGAAAAATAATTAGCTATTAATGGATTCTACATTAATGAGGTATGTGATTATTTGGTTATATAAGCAGCACAAGAACAGTTAGTTTTACATCAACATTACAAATTAGGTTACATAACATTCAAATATTTACTATTCTACTATCACATGACTTTTTCATTTGAGATTTTTGTAACAAAATGACCTTTTTAAAGAATTTTAATAATAAATTTTATTGTTACTAAAAATATATAATATTCTTCAAATATGAATAACAGTTAATCTGTGAGTTTAAAGATCTTTTTTAAATTATGATGTGGAACTTTGTCATGCACTGTACTTGTGTCCTTGGTGAAGAAAACAGACTTTAATGGCATTAAGTTGCAATTAAAATTAATAATGACAGTATTACTGATTCCAGTGAGCTCTTACTGCATGCCAGACATTGTGGTAAATTTTACATTTGTTCTGATTTAATCTTGAAAGCAACCCAAGGAATTTAGTGCAATTGGTGCCCTCTCCATTTTATAGAAGAAAATACTAAGGTCTGAAAAATTAAATCGTGTTTTAAAAAATTAATTTAATAGTTAATTGAGTCCAGGTCCATCTTATTTGGAAGTCTTTCTCCTAATTGCCTCTCTATGCTGTGCAAATATTTTTTTTGGTTTAGTTTCATAAGAAGTTCCAGACATAATTATGGAATGCTTACTATATAGTAGGCACTGTGCAAGTTCATTCTTGAAATCATAGAACTGAGATCACACTGATCACAGATAATACAAATAATCATGAGGGCACAGATGAACCATCTTCAACTCCTCTAGTAATTTCTGGGATCACGGCAACAAAATATTCATGGTGCCAACTTGCATAAACCCTGAGGAAAAATCCTACCTGATTTCTCTAGCCTTGTTGTATCACCTCCATGTAGTTTGTAAACATCTTCCCTGATGTGGGGCACACACTAGATTCTTGGAAGCGTTAGTAGTGATAAGTACATATTTCCAGTTTTAAAGTGAAGTTTTGTTGCTCATCAGAAGCCTTTTATGGACAATTTAAGATCTGTATTATGTAAGACCATATGAACAGATGTTGCTGAAACTACAAGAGAAAAGATAATTCTCATATAGGAATCAACCATTTGAAACACTATGAGAACTTTGTTTTTGTGCATCTTTCTAAACTTAAACTGACCTGAATTTTAGCTACCTGAGGTTCTGTATAAACTTTTATCTTAGGTTTTGCCTAAAGCATGACCTTTTTAGGACAACCAATCTAAGGTGATAGAAGCCTGAATATTGATTATTGACTGGGAAGAGGCACAAGGGAGCTTTGGGGGTGTTCTGATATGTCATTATTTCTTTATCTGAAAAGTGGTTACATGGATAGCTACATGTATAAAAACTATCAGATTATACACTTCAACTTTGTGCCTTTGACTGAAGAATTGAGTGGAATGGTTTAAAAGAAAGATATTAGGGATTTAAGAGCACCACCCCATCCTATCCTAAAACTTCCTTTCACTTTTTTGGCAAGTTTATATAGACATGAAAGGCAATGACAGTACTGTATTAATTTTTGTATTTCTGGTATAGAGGGGAAGAGAGAATGGAGGCACGTGGAAGGAGAGGGGATAATGTCACTTCACAGTCGGCATACACACTTCTCCTCTTAGTAGCTCCATAATAAACCCAGCTCCGCTCTATGTGCCTCCTTTTGCTATATGCATATGTTTTTCCCTTGATTTGAAGATAGCAAAATTAAGCAGCATTTTGATTTTGGAATCTAAAAAAATCTAATAGGGCTGGCCTAAGTTATTTGGCAAGTGGAGGGGGACTAATGTCTAAATATGTACATTCTTGTACATATCTTGCCTTACTTGCTTTCCCACTTGCATCTCTGTTACAGTCTCTCATATTCCTGTTTTGGTAATTGAGAGCAGAAACTGTATCTTTACTTTTTACTGCTCAGCAAGTGAATTGGAATTTTTAGGGTGGAGAAGAGATGACAAAAGGAATGATTTAATGTGTTGAGAAAATAAAGGGCTGTCCTTAGGCTGCCCTCCTTAGGGAAGATAGTAAGATATCTTTCCTATCTCTCTGTCAAAGATGATATGATAGAGGTAACCAAGATTATAGAAAGATTTAAGATTTCCCATATGGAAGAGCCAGATTTAAGGTCAGGAAGAAGAAATAGAAAGGGTGATTTGAACATTTATGACAAGCAAGAGCCCTTGGAGTCTTTTTTCTCCCACATACCTCAGCCTATGACATAAGTCTGGGAAAACTTAGTTGACCTGGAATTACATATGAGTTTACTTTGTACGAAATACCTACGTACAAAGAAAGCACATGGGAGTTCATGTCATATGTTGTCATGTTTGGAAGTTGAGCTGAAAGGCTTTTGAAAATTCTTTTAGATTCTTTGTTATAGACTATAATTCAGCATATAAATGCCATAGAGAATTAAAATTCTTATATTTGGTTGGGGACCCATTTAATAATTTTTTTCTGGTCTTTTACTAGCTGAAAATATTTTCAAGTTGCAGATGTGCGAATAACATGGTAAACTCATTAATTCTTTAAAGGGAGTTAGGATTTTCTAAATGTAGTCCATTCCTGGGCCTTGCCTATTTGGAAGCTGAAATAAAAACAGTGTGATTCTTTGGAAAGAATTCATAGGTAAATGGATGCACTAGGATAGAGGAAGCAGACCTAGTGTGTATAAAAATGTAATCAATTGAAGCCCCTAGGTAACTTAATAGGCTCCCATTGTCGAATGGGGCCAGACTAAAATTCTTATCTTTTGACAAGCTGGGAAATAATGGGCAATTCCCTTTCAGGAAGTAAGAAGACAGATATTCATATTCCCATTACTTTCCAACTCCAGATTCCCAAAATATGGCTAACAAAACAGGCACCAAAAAACCTGAGAGATTTTTGTTACTATGTTGTACCCTGTAAAAAACACTCAGTCTCAGAATTCATGTTCATCCCCACTGCTAATTAAACCCAAGTGAACAGCTGTTACTAGATGGCACCGAACCATAGCCTGTACCCGGACAGATTTGGATGATTTAGCCAGACTGGAAACTCAAGCCTCCAGCTGCACAAGTGTGCCCCAATTAGCTTGTTATTCTCACAATATTGGATTCCATATATTTTGTGGAAATGGATTTTTGGATTCTACTTTTCCCTCTTAAAACAGGGCTTTATACAAGATGGTGATTGAAATATCACAAAGTAATAGGGTTGGACTAAATTATTCGGCAAGTGGAATGGGAAAAACTAATGTCTGGATCAAGGAGGACTCTGACTATGAAAGTAGTCATAGAAATTACAAAGGAAAATTACAGCAACCGAAAAATTGTAAATGCATGTCCAAAAAATTATGTTAACAAACTTGTGTAGCCCATTAGAAAGAGTATTTGCCACAATTGTAATGCTTCACAGTTTTAATATGCCTTTTATAAATAAATGGGAAAGTTATGTGTAAGTTAAAGAAACAAAGTAATGTAGCAGTGTGATTACAATTATGTGCTTATAAATAAATTATAGCAAATAAAATGGAACATAATGTGATTACTAAAAAAAATCATGTTTTCAGGAGACTTTAATTACATGGAAAAAACTCATAATCCAAAGTGATAACACCTTATACAGCCAGTATGATCCAAATTATGTGCATATTTGTTGTCTACATTTAAGAACAAAGGAAAAAATCCTGAAAGAAAATAAATTAAAGAGATAACAGAGGTTTTATCTGTGGTAGTAAGAGTATGGGTAATTGTTTCTTTCCTTCATAATGTTCTTTTATTTTAGACTTTAAGAAAACAAACCAAAAATATTAAAACAGAAAATATTTCTTTTCACTAAAGCATGGGTCCTTCTTTAAAAATTAAAGTTCATGCTGGATGCTGTGATGTACTCCTGTAATCCCAATAACTGGAGAAGGCTGAGGCAGGAGGATTGCAAGTTCAAGGCCAGCTTCAGCAACTTAGCAAGACCCTGTCTCAAAATAAAACATAAATAAAAGTACTGGGGATATAGCTTAGTGGTAAAGTACCCCTGGGTTCAATCCCCAGTAACAACAACAACAAAAATCAAAGTTCATATTTTAGAATGGATAAAGCATTGAATGAAAAGCCTATCAGAGGCAAAATTTTAGGATAAAAAAAAAGAAAGCTGTGTACTATCTTTCTGAAATAACAGATGGGTAGACTTAGGGACAAGCCCTTTCAACTTGAGCACTCTTTCATGTTTATTCTTCTTCTTATAAAAGACCTTAGTTTAGCAAACTAGATGATCACCCCCTACTCTCAAGCACAACTGTCTCTGATAATCTGGCGTCCTTTCCTACAGCGTTTTCGCCTTTCACATACACAGACACACATGTGTTATAGGCATCACCAATTGATCATTCTCCATGTTCATCTAGTTAACAGATGGGGAGTTCTGCCCATTCTCCTGCCAAGTATTTTTGAGCACTCTTTTTTTTAATTAAACCATTTATCTAGCCACTTAAAAAGTCTGCCTTTCTAGCCACTCATATAAAGACACATGGCATTATGTTTCAGTGCATTTTAAAACACTAGTTCTTACCGACCTTGTGGGACAATCCTTTTTATTGACTATTCACATTAAGTATTTCAACACAGAATTTTGATTAAAGGAACCTGGTTCACCAGCTTTTGCCATGGCAGAGTGTTGAAATTCTTCCCAGGAGGCTAAAATATGTGGTGATTTGAATTATCTAGAATTCCACAGGAAAATGCAATAGGATTTCACAGCAGGAAATGACCTTAGAAATAACTTAATCCAACTCTATTTTACAAATGAGGAAATTGAAGCCAGAGGGGTTAAAACCCAAGCTTTAAAACCCAGTTGGAAACAAGTCTTCTGACTTCTTATTGGGTCTTTTTAATATATTATCCTTATAGTAAGTTCCTAAATGTTGTGTTATGTGGTATTTGGGGATCACTTGCATATATAATAGATTTTGGAGTTGCATATGATCATGATGAATTTAAAGTTTTACCTGGGCCTGGGGTATAACTAAGTGATAGAGCACTTGCTTATCATGTGTTAGCTTATCATGGATTTAATCCCCAGCAGCACAGAAAAAAATAAAATAAAATGAAGTTTTATCTTAGTTGCCATGATGACAAAGTGTAACAAGGACATCACTACAGCTTGAGAACATGTGGTCTTAGCATAGGAAGGTTTTCCTCATTTTTCTACAGAAAATTCTCATTTTTCCTTGGTCTAATTCTTTTAAACTTAGTTAATTTTTTTTTCTGTGTTAATTCTAGACTTTGAGAAGAAAATTCTTCTATCGGTGTTATTTTTATTGAGACCAGCTTTGTTAGACTTTTAATTTGACATTTATTTAGCCAAGCTTTGACTGTTATTTTGAGTTACAGAAATGTAATTTTTCAGTTAAAGAAGAAGCACAAGAAAGCCTTGTTAAGGAAGAAAAGTCATTTTCACTATAGATTATTGTTCTGAAAAGCATAACTGAAAAATTTCTGTAGATGGTTGAGGACATAGTCTGTCCTCCTGACCACTAAGATGAAGATATCACAACAGCTGCAAGGGATTGCTTACACCGTTGGAATTCATTTTGATACAGTTGAGTTTTTATTATTTTTTTGACTTCCTCCCCAGTGTTTTTTGATAACAGGTGTGACTTTTAACCTTCCACACTCAACCTCATACAACATACTGAGTAATTTTGTAAAGGCAAAATAATCCAAAATATGTGGGAAATGAACTTAAGATTAATAATATTATACTTTTGAGAGCAAATGATAATTTTATAAAATTAGACATACTAAAAATTGAAAATAGCAAATATTGGATTAGGAGATAATTGGTGAATTTAGGAATTATTGATTGTCTTTATACTTTTGATCTCTGGTCTAATTGATTTAAGGCTTTATCCAGTTAATAAATGAGTAAATTTTAGACTGAATCTTAGACAGAAAATAAATTCAGAATTTGAACTTACTTTCAAAAATATAAATATATCTTCACTGAGGTTGTAATCAACATACAAATTCTTATTTATGTAATTTGGATAGTTTGTACTGGAAATTCAAGAGGTTTTCTATGGATAAGATCCATACAATTTTGAAAGTGGGCAATCTTTGTGTGTCTTTCTTTTCTTAATGAAAATAGTGAATGTATTAGGCTTGAATTAGGTTTAATGTAAGCCCCAAGTACATATAAGTATAAAAGTGTACTTCAACCTCCAAACTAATCATTTGGACAACCTTTTTGTGTTATAATCCAAATTATCACTAACTTCTTCAGTAGGCACTTCTACCATTTTTTATTAATATTTAAAGGTTAGACATAGTTTTAAACATTTCTAATTGTCCTTAAGATATATCATTGTATATAAACGTTAAATAGCAATGAATATGGAAATGTTTTAACATTCTTAGGATATATAAATCTTTGTTTATCCATAATATCAAATTTTTTCCTTATAATACCATATATATTTATGACAATAGATGCTTGTAATTTTGATTCACATCTTTATATGCTTTTCAGAGGCAGATTTCTGAATCATTAAGAGAAGATTACCATCTTTTCCATATTTTTTTGTGACTATTCTATACATAGGTTACTGTAGTCGTTCCCACACTGTTCTGTTCTTCAGTGTTTCCCCTTTCTAGTGCATCCTTCGCATTACCACCAGATCAGTCCTCCCAAAATAGTATTTCATCCTATTAATTCTTTCTTGGAAAACCTTAGCAGTTTCCTAACTGTTATCCTCTTTGGTCTCTTGCTTCCCTGAAAACAATCCCTAATCTTCTTCACTGTCTCCTCATAACAAGTCCTTATTGACCTTACTCATGTTGCTATGTGAAGGTGTCTAATATAGGTGCTTCCTTTCCCTCTCCCTTCATGTTTACCTATCAAATACATATATAATTATCCTTTAAAAAATTTTTGTCACTCTTAACTATACAACTAGTTTGTGAACATATCCTCTTGAAGACTTAAAAAAATACAAAGTAAAACTATTGATTCTTTTATCCGTTAATACAAGAATGAATGAATGAATTGTGGTATATTTATTTTACGGAAGGAATTATGTACAACACAAAAACAGTGGAACTGGAGTCCACATATCCACACAAGTTAATTTTATAAACATAGAGCAACAAAGGTAGTTTTTGGACTATATATAGTATAACACAATTCTTTTAAACTTTGAAAGCATGTTAAACAATTCTACATATCTTAATGATATATACATATGAATTAAAAGTAGAAATATATACAGGAAATGATTTTTTCATATTATACATTTTCTTCTAGGAGTTGCATAAATTTGGGTTTAATTCCTAGGTCTTTGATCCATTTTGAATTGACTTTTGTGCAGTGTGAGAGCTAACGATGTAGTCTCATTCTTCTACATATGAATAACCAGTTTTCCCAGCACCAATTGTTTAAAGCCTGTCTTTTTTCCAGCGTATGCTTTTGGCACCTTTATCAAAAGATCAGATGACTGTATTTCTATGCGTTTATCTCTGTGTCTTCTATTGCATTGGTATATATGTCTGTTTTATGCTGTTTTTGTTACCATATGTCTATAGTATAATTTGAAGTCAGGTATTATAATGCCTCCAGCATTGCTTTATGGCTAAGAATTGCTTTAGCTATTCTGGGTCTTTTATTCTTCCAAATGGATTTTAGAACTGTTTTTTCTAGTTCTGTGAAAAACGTCATTGGTATTTTGATAGAGATTGCATCAAATCTGTAGATTACTTTTGGTAAGGTAACATGGCCATTTTAACAATGTTCATTCTGCCTATCCATGAACATGCCAGGTCTTTCTGTCTTATACTATCTTCTTCAATTTCTTTTTTCAGTATTCTGCATTCTGTAGTTTTCATTGTAGAGGTCTTTCACCTCCTTGGTTAGATTTATTCCTAGGTTTTTGTTTTTTGAAGTTATTATATATGGGATTATTTCTTTGATTTATTTCTTAGAAAATTCATTATTGGTTTGTAGAAAAGCTATTGATATTTGTATACTGATTTTGTATCCTGAAGAGTGACACTTCAAACTTTTCACTGTGCCTTAGAGTTCTCTCCATATCAGCGTAAATGTGTGTGTGTGTGTGTGTGTGTGTTTGTTTTAATTCTGTACAGTATCCCCTACTGAGGACATATGGCTGGTTTTTCATATGTAGAAGAATGAGAACAGATCCTTAAACCCTGCACAAAGTCTGTGTCCGTGTGTGAATAAAAGGATGCATTTTCCTTGTTGTAAACTGCACCTCAGTGAGCATCCTTGTACACATGTCTGTTTGCTGTTGAATAAGCAGCATTTCCCACTCTGTCCTCCTTTCCATTTTTGGTTCACAGCAATGTCTCATAGCCTACATTGCTATGGGTCTTTTTCAGGGTCTAGCTTCTCTCTTCCAGGGTACCACCAACACAAACAAAAACACTCACAGAATCATTCATGAAATTTGGATTTTAGAGTTGACTCGCTCAATGGTCTTCTACCTTTTTCTCCTTTGTTTCATGGAAATGTTAAATGGGATGACATTCAGATTCTGACAAGCTCTTATTCTAATTAGGCTTGTGAAAGTGATACCATCAATATTTACTTATTTTTATTTTTTAAAATTTTATTTTATTTGTGCTGGGAATTTTCCCAAGTCTTTGCACATGCTACACAAGACCTCTACCACTGAGCTGTACCCCCAGCCCCCATCCATTTTTATTTTGTGTTTAGCTACTAGTAAATATCACTTGAACCTTGTAAACTAAATCATAAAGGTTCACAGTTCTTATGAATCAAGGGTCATTATACTTTACTCCTCATGAGTCTTCTACATTACTTCTTAAGTGATCCTCAAATACCATTTCCAAATAGTAGTGGTGGTGTTGTTTTTGGGTTTTTTTTTTTTTTTTTCTTTTGGGTAAATGCTCAGTGTTTCACAGAAAGCTGTTACTTGTACCAGCTCATTTTAAAGTATTATCCTTCTTTCACAAATTCCAAGTAATTAATGCTTAAGATTACTCAACTAGTAAGTTTTAGGGCCTAGACTCTACTTCATATCTTTTGATTTCTAGGTTCTCTATTTTCTTAAAGACAGTTTCCTTATACTTAAAATATTTGTTGAACATGTGCTAAACTTCTTTTTTAACGTTTACAAGGAGATTGGTATTTATCAGGTGCTCTTTAAATGTTTATCCCCCACTACCAACCTTTTCCTTCTGCCTCTGAGTTTATTTTGTGTAGTTTTGGGACTCGGGACTCTGTTTAGTTGTTTCTAGACTTCAAGATGACCAGCACTTTTGAGCCAACATCTCCTAAGCATTCAGGAAATGCATTACGCAAGTAGCTGTGGTTATTGCTATCCTTCAAATCACTTGACATAGACCATAAACATTTAGTTCTCTTCCATGAAAAATGGATTGGAGGCCAAGCTTAACTTGTCTCAGGGTATCTGTTTCATCCTCATGGTAGAACCCAAGTGTGCCAGTGATGATTCACGGAAATGCTACAGGATGAAGAATGGCTTTGCTTTTGTTGGAAATCTTTTGAAGAATGTTCATCAAAGTGGATTCTTTGTTTTCAGATACTTTTTTTCCTAACATACCATCACAGTGAACTGAAGTTATTACTTACACAGAGTATCTTCTTACAAAAGGACAATATGGCACAATCCACTGTGACTATTGAGGCTAAAATGTGCTAGTTTAAGCACTTTATTTCTTAATATTAGGCTACTATCATAAAGCTCAAAATATGTTTTCCTTCATAACATTTTAGTTGTTCAGAAATATACAAAGCCATTTTTTCACAGGCTTGATTTTCCTGAAGAGCTTCTTGAAATTTATAAAGCCAATCAGGCACTATGGCACACACTTGTAAGCCTAGCAACTCAGGAGACTGAGGCAGGAGGATTGTAAGTTTGTGACCAGCCTGGAAAACTTAATGAGACCTTGTCTCAAAGTACCAAAAAAGGGAGGAGGGAGCTGGAGATGTAGCTCAGTAGTAAAGCACTCTGGGTCAATCCCTAGTACCAGGAAAAACAAGAAAGAAATTGATAACACTGTCCCTTTGTAAATTGTAGTATTAATTCTGCAGCTATGTTGAGAAGAGAATCCTCCAGACAGACGGAACATTTTCATGTTGCCTTATTCTCATTACCTTTACCATACAGTCTTCCAATTCTCTTCCCAAAAAATTATTAAAAGAGATTTTAAAAGGTGAAGGAAATACACTCATCTTTTTTTTTCAGTTTCTTATTAAAGTTTCTCTTCCTATACTTTATTACTTTTTAAAAAATTTCCTTTGCCTCTGTATAGACCCCCATTATCTTGATTGCTCTGGGCCTCCCCCTTTTCCTCCTTCTGAGAACTTTACAGTCTCATTAGTTGTTCCCTTGACCGATATTTGTACACATACCACAGTTCACTGGTCATCTGAGTACAGGAGCCAAGGTTCTCAACTGCTCTTACTGTGACATGCCAGGGGCAATTTATTACTAATTATAAGTACTTGAGTTTTGTAAGTGCTTTATTTTTTTAAAGTAGATTTGAGTTTAGCCCTAAAATAATGTCACTGTCACCCACTTGCATACAGAAATGCTTTCTTGAGTGGGAGAGAATGACAGTGCAGTTAGTCTCCTGTCAGGGAATTGTGCACAACCCCAGCTTTCTGTATTAAGGACTGTGGGAGTGTGTTCTGGAACATGTAAATGCTATTTTTCCTTGGACTTTTTCTTATAAAAAAAAAAAAAAAGGCTAACCCCCGGCTAACCCCCTTACCAAAGAACAGGCAAATGTTCCCACTTAGGATTATTATTACTGTTTGGGTTTGTTTGGGTGGCTGATTGGCTGGCATGTGTTTTGACCATATGGTTTTAAAAGATGAATGAACCCTAGAAAAAAAGACAGTTTTCCTCTCTCTTTTAGATGTCAGGTTTGTTTGTTTTTACTGGTTGTTTATCAACATAAGACTCTGAAGTTAGGGTGAAAAAATCATCCAGTGGTTTGTTGTTAAAAGGAACAAATCTGAAAGATTTTACAAATGGAGAAAGATTGCTTTTTATCTACGAAAGTATAGGGTGGGCTTCTCTCTTGTCCCTTGTACAGGTCTTTTCTGATAGGAGATACACAGGCAGAATTAAAGAAGGCAACACTAAATAAAACCGGTTTCATATTTTACCTATAGTGTGGTTTGGGTGTTTCCAGAATCTGTTTGTCATTTCCATTAGTAGAATAACTTCAAAAGGGATCTAATGTTTTCCCAGGAGGTATCTTTGTGGTAACCTCAATATTTCTTTTCAACTCATGTTGACAATCTCTAGTTATTGTCTCAAATTTAACATAAAATGAAGTCTTTATTCAAGCAGAAAGAATGTGACACATCCATGGTTGTTTCTGTCTCAGGAGTAAACTAGTTACAGATCCATGAATTTCTCAATTAAACAAAAAAGTTAGTGGGGGTGAGTAGGAGGAAGGAGAATGTTTACATTTCTTAAAACCCAAATGTATGCAACAAAATCTTATTTCCTTGAAAATACCTACAACATATCCCAGAATTGTGACTCCAGGGATCATTTTATGTCTAAAGATAGAAAAATCTATTAACTTCTCAATGGAAGTGCAAGAGATGCTTTTGAAAATGCATAACTAGGAAACTGGGCATGATAAACTAAGGCTATGCATACAAATGATTTGCATCTTTGTTCAATGCTTTATACTCTCCCTCTCTGTAAAAATAAAAATTTCTCATAGCTATTAATAGCTTCATCCTTGGTGTTCAGATGGCATATTCTTTAAAACTCAGTATGTAGCCAAGTGTGGCTGGGCAGGAGGATCACAAGTTGAAGGCCAGTCTCAGCAATTTAGCAAGATCTTGTCTCTAAATAAATAAATAAGCAAACCCTGAGGGTGTAGTTCAGTGGTAAAGTGCCCTGGGTTCAATCCTTGGTTCGGAAAAAAAAAAAAAAAGTCAGTGTGTGATTGTGTCAATAGTTGTACAACTGTGAAAGTACTAAAAACCATTTAATTATATACCTTAAATAGATGAATTCTATGTATGTGAAGTATATCTCAATATATATGTTCTGTTACATTAAAAATCAATATGTAGGGCTGGAGTTGTGGCTCAGTGGTAACGCTCACCTAGCATGTGTGAGGCACTGGGTTCGATCCTCAGCACCACATGTAATAAATAAATAAATAAGATAAAGGTATTGTTTCCAATTATAATTTAAAAAAAAATCAATATGTAATTATATTTGAAAATATAGATTTGGGGGCTTCTTTGGCCAGTTCATCCAAAAGCCTCATAGTTTCTTCAGGAGTGAACATCTTTATAGAAAAGGCAGTTTGGGTAAAGCATGCTTCCTAGGCCTTCACCAAAGCACCAGACTTGTATACTATATTCCTCTGAGCAGTTGATTGCCCCTTGCATTAAATGTCTTATTTTTAGATTTTAAAAATGAATAATTTTACATATATAAAAAGAATGCATTTTTGTATTTTTAGTAATGCTGTGAATATTTAATCTCATATTTGTTATTAAAGCACAAATTCTATTACACTGTTCTTACTGGAAACTCAGACTAAGTTTCACATCTCCTAAAGAAAAGATACTTCTTTTCCCATAGAAGAGATTGATACTTTATGATTGTACCATGGGTTTCCTCTCATGGTTTTACAAAACACATACAGTACCGAGAGCAGCAAAATAGCCATCAAGAGTCTCAAGTCTTGCTGGGCAGGGTGGTGCACACCTGTTGTCCCAGCAGATTGGGAGGCTGAGACAGGATAGTGAGTTCAAAGCCAGCCTCAGCAATAGCAAGGTGCTAAGCAACACAGTGAGACCCTGTCATTAAATAAACTACAGAAAAAAGCTGGGGATGTGGCTCAGTGGTTGAGTGCCCCTGAGTTCAATCCCTAGTACCCAAACAAACAAACAACAAAAAAAGAGGCTTGAGTTCTCACTAGAGCTCCCTTGCTGAGACCCTGAGTGACCAGAGGTAAGCTGAAGTCCATCATTAAAAGTGGGGCTGGAGGGCTGGGGTTGTGGCTCAGTAGTAGAGCCCTTACTTATATAGCATGTGTGAGGCACTGGGATCGATCCGCAGCACCACATAAAAATAAATAAATAGATAAAATTAAGATATCTACAACTAAAAATGTAAAAAAAAAAAAAAACCCAACAACAACAATCTGGGGGCTGAAATAAAATTGGAATTTATATGGATTCTCTAAGATTCTTTCCAGTGTTTGAAGCCTGAGATTTTTCTGTCTCCTGGATTGTAATATTTTTAATGGTCTTTAAGTCCATGAGGACATGTAAATAAGACATGGGATGTAGAAAGTAGGCATCTTTTGTATAAACACATTAATATAAAGTGCATTCTAGAATGTAAGCTTCATGAAGTTTAGGACCCTGTTTGTCTCGTTCAAGGCTATACTAGCAGTTAGATAGATCTTTTTGTAAAAGTGAGTATATATGCCTGATGCAGTGGCACATGCCTATAATCCCAGCTATTCAAGAGGCTGAGGCAGGAAGATTGCAAGTTTGAAGCCAGTCTCAGCAATTTAATGAGACTCTTTCTCCAAATAAAATTTTAAAAGGGCTGGGGATCTAGCTCAGTGTGTATAGCGCTTGCCTCATACGTGCAAAGCCCTGGTTTCAAACTCTACCATTAAAACAGGGAGGAAACACTTTGCAAGAAATGTAAGTGGAGTGGAAAAATAAGAAAGAGAACTTTAGATGTTTAAGAAATTCTAAGGTGGGGTTTGAACTGTTGGAAGAGTAATAGCTTGAAGTAGAAAGATTGGAGGGCAGGTGTTTACATTTTGTTTCCTCTAAGTATGGTCCAACCTAGTAGAAGATTTCTGGTTAAGAAAGGGTAGGTGCATAGCTGGGGATACCATTTATTCAGTCATCAAATACTTATATACTCTCTACATATTAGTGAAGTGGTTCTCAAGCTTTGTGGTCTCATTGGCCTATTATTCTTCTAAAAATTATTGAGACCCTCCAAAGAGCTCTTGTTTATATGAATTATAGCTGATATGTGCCATATGGGACCTAAAACTAAGAAATTTTAAATTATGTATATAACCCATTAAAAATAATAATAAATCATTGTATGTTAACATCAATCACATTTTCATGAAGAATAATTACATATTCAAAAAAGTTTAGGGAGATGAGTTTCAATTCTTATTTTTGCAAAACTGTTTGACATGTGGTTTTCCAGAAGATAGCTGTATTCTCATATTACAACCTGTTGCAATAATTGGAAAATGGAGGCCCTCACAGAACCCATTAAAGGATCTCAGAAACTCCTAAGGGTCTTCAGATCACACTGTGAAAACCACTGCACTTGGGAATAGTAAAACATTGGTTCTTGCCTGTGTCAAGCACAGGCGATGGAAGTAGGGTTCCCCTCAGTGGAATGGGCTGGCTGCAAAACAAAAGTTAAGAAAAATTGAACAGCGAAAGAACCACAGGACACAGAAAATATTTTTACAAAGTGGGGACAGGATGTGCCAGCCGATCTTAAGGATCCAGCTTCCATGCTTTATTTATGTCTCTGGGGGTGGGGCACATCAAAGGCAGGGATAAGGTTTCAAGGGCGGAGTCTTGCTTTATGTTGACTTGAGGTCAGCAGGTTGATTGAGATCTTGGCAGGTCACACCCATCTCAGGTGCTGTGTGGGATTTCTGGCAGAGCTTGAGGGGAAATTCACCTGCATCAGGTGGCCAATCCCTGTGGGGGTGCCATGGAAGGTTCCCAATGCCAGACTGATCCTCTCATTAGGCTACTATGTGCAACATAGTCCACACACAGCCTGCAGACAGCTCATGACAATTGGTAGTGGATTTTGTTTGTTCACCAAATATTTATTAAAAGCTTAATACAGGCCAGCAAGTAGGAAAAAAATTAATCGGCTAGGAATGAAAAATTTGGAAATTGTGACTGAGTTTGAAATTTCTTTAGCAAGCTTATCCTGTATATTCAGGAGGCAGGGTGTGAAGGATAAGAGGGAATAACAACACAGGGTTTGGGGAAGTGGTGATTTGAAATACAAGCCCACACTTGCTAAATTGGAGCATGAAATTAGATATTGATGTCCTTCCTGTTTAAAAAAAAAAATTGTTTTGGTAGGTGCTTGATAAGTAAGGATGGAGTTTGATTGAGGTTCAAAGATGAGGATTCCTGTTGTAAGAGAGGTGAGGAGTCCAGTCACTGTGGGTTCTGGAGCATGCTAGAACCTGTGATCTCATCTGGGGAGTGGGACTGGGCACTTGTAAAACCTTTGTTTATATTATGATGCTTTGTTTCTGATTGTTTTTCCTTTGCTTTTGTTTCAGACGATCCAGACCTTTGAAGTTACCAAAAAGGTAAAGTAATTTGGGTCATCTCCTTAAATAATAAACAATTTACTAGCAGGTTTTTGACTTTTTTAATATTTTCCCCACATTTTGTTGTTCTTTCCACCTTCTTCATTCATATTTTTATGGAGAAAAAATAAATTTCCTCAGAGTTGACTGCTTGAGAAATCCTGTATCTCCATAAGCAGTTTTAATCTCAAGGTAGATTTTTAGGCCATAAATTCTGTTTGTTCTAACCATTTACATTTGTCTGATTATTTTGTCTTCTGTCCTTTAGTAGATTGGCTTGTCGGTGTCTTACTTGTTGAGGAGAGGAATACTGTTCTGCCAATTACCATGACTTGACTACCTGGCAGTTTATTTCAAATGAGTTGTCTGATTTTCTGTCTAAAGATTTTGTTACCATATTAAGATAGTAACATCTTTCATGTGGAAATTTTTAAGGTTTATCTTTGGCAATCACCATTCTATTTTCTCTGTGAATTTGATCCCTGTAGGTAGCTTACATAGTGGAATCATATAGTGTTTGTCCTTTTGTAACCGACTGACTTCATTTAGCACAGTGTCCTCAAAGTTTGTTTATGTGGTAGCATGTGTCAGAATTCCCTTTCTTCTTAAGGCTGAATAATTCCATTCTCTTGTGTTAATACACCATACTTTATCCAGTTATCCTTCAGTTTTTGCCAAAAAATCGAAAAACATTAAGGGAAGAGATATGCAAGTATGTTATTAAGAAAAGGAATTTCACTCATCTAGAAATAATAAGGACTTTCTCAGATGACTAAAATTTTTTGTAGTTTGAAAAGATTCCTTTTTTTCTCTGTTATTAGATGGGTATTTTCTCTGTTATTAGATGGGTCTTAATTTCTTTTCTCTGGTGTATATGCAAATAAGTATAACCTCTTCAAAAAAGCCTTCCTTGATTCCTCCTTCTCACAAAACATTTTATTTGTACTCCCCTAAAATTATGTCTTTTTACCTGATCTGGTAGATATTTGTGTACCTGTCTGATTTTCTGGATTAAGCTATAAGTTCCTTGAAGGCATCTTTGGGTTGCCAGAATAACTTGCATTCTTTAATGCTAATTATTAATGTATTACTTGAATACATTATGTATTATGAATGTATTACTTCATACAAAATAAAGAGTTCTATAGTGTATTTTTATGTGTGTAAAATTTCTCACATTTTAGTCATTCTTCCCAAGTTGATAGTTGATACCACTGGAAATTTTGTGATTAATAACATTTTGAAATGCCTTCCCTTAAGGGACAGGAGTAACCAGGAAGAGTTATTAAGTAATGACATATGTTAAATTGAGAACTAATGCACTATAAGCATTAAGTATTACATCCTGAACCATTTCTTTGAAATGTTTATTCAAAAATGATTTCAAGATAAAAATAAATTTACTTTTAATATTACTATCTTAAAAAAAAAGAGTTATTAAGGGAAACGGAAAGGAATGAACCAAGGGAGAAAGGATTTTTAGGCAAGAAGGGATAGCCAGATGTGTTTAATATTTCTCAACTCAAGAAGGTGGAAACCAAGAATAGTTGGTTGATTTTGGTAGAGCAAAAGAATCCTGTGAACAAAGGGCAGGCCACAAGGAGTCAAGGTTTGGATGGTTGGTCAGGAATGGGAGGTCTCAGTTCAAAGCCCGTACACTGGGAGGTGTAGCTCTGCTCAGAGGAGAGAGGAGAAAGAAGACTGTTTTCAGACATGCAACAAAGAGCAAGAAGGAAAATCTATGTAAGCTTTTAAAAGAGGAAAATTTACTCAGGGGTATTATTGTAATATAAATTACCCTTTTAAAAATAGCCCCCCATCATGTGAGCATAAGTTGGGCCTGTTTATTTGTTTTAACAGTTATTTCTGATCCATTTCCAGAGTAAGCCCTATAATAAGGTGGCTGAGAATCTCTAAGTATCCTTGAGGGACTTCCCATTGGATACCAACCCAGCACAGCAGTAACACCTTGGACCAGTGTCCAACAGCATGCCCACTAACTCCAATTCATACTGCCCCCACTAGCACATTTACGTCACCCTCAGTTTCTGTCTCCTTTTCCTATAGAACTTGGAAGGGTCTGTCAGATTTGTATACTATCTGAGATTTTTATCTATTGAAAAACTGATGGGAACTTATATACAGCAATGTCTTGGATGGACTGCAGGCCTCATCTCAGCTGCTGGCAGAGCAGTAGTGCCTTAGGGACAGCTGCCATGCAGGCTAAGCTAGACAGACTCCCTGCTAGAACCCGAGTGCCCAGAGGTAGATGTAATTTGTAACTAGACTGTGGTGTTACCTAAAATAGTTTCAAAATTAGAGCAGGTGTGTGAAGATATATGTTTGATGTGCAGATGTATGCTAGTAAAAGGAATGGTCCTTTTGAAACTTCTTCTCATGCAAACAAATGATTCATTTTTCAAAGAAAATAATAGGCAGGTACTTTATTCTTTAATATATTCCTTGAACCCAGGCTCACTAAGAGTGAAATTAGTTGGGGGTGGGGAGTACATATTTAGAGGGAGAGATTTACAGGCCATTTTTAATTTCCTTCTCCCATTTTCATTAGATTTTTAGCTTGATATTACAACCATTGTCTGGATTTCATACTGTACATGAAACCTTGTTTTACAAGTAGTGTCCACAGTGATATCATATCCTAGCATAGATATCAGGAGGAGCAGAAATGCCCTCAGTAATTTTGTGATGTTTAGGAGAAACACTTGTCTGAGTAAAACATAGAATAATTGGGCTTTCCTCTGTGCTGCCTTTTATACTCAGGATGGCAATTCCATTTCTTAAGTGTGAACAGTTGTCTCTAAAAAAGGCCAGCATATGAAACATCTGCTGTGTGAGGAAGTAGAATTGTAATATAGTAAGGTTAAATGTGTTTGGAAGAAATGTGCTGAAGTCACTAATGCCATAAAGTTTCCATATGTAGTCAGTACACGTATATGGCATATAGCAGTGCTGTAAAATCAAAACCAAATGTTTTCAAAGGGTAGAAAAGCAATTATTGAAAGAGGTTTTTAAGGTTGCTATGCATGTGTGTGCAGATTTTTCACGAACACAAAACAAAAAATCATTATATGGGTAAATTAAACCACAGTATGAAAACTAAGCAATTTGGGGCCCACTACCCTCTATTGATAACATGTTTGTAGGTAAAAATGCATAACTTCTGGTTCATTTGAAAGAAAATGGATCCATTTAAAATAAAGTGTAATGAATAATTGTATGAGCCTAAAGCTATTTTCATTTCATATTGCTGATATTTTAAAGGTCTAAAATGTAAAGGACTCTTGTAAAGTCTGAAGGAATGAATAGTTCTCATACATGCTATAGAAACAAAGGACTTTATTGCTTCAAAACCAGTTACTTTCATCTTAGTTTGCATTTGGTGGAGGAGGAAATAAAGCAAGGAGAAAACTTTTGCATTGGGCGTGTTCAAGAAACGTGAAAACTTTTGGCTACTTGGTGTTTACATTTGAACAACCACAGTCGGCATGTTGTGATTTATGTTCTCATTACATTCAAAATTAATTTTTAAAGGTCATTCTGACTTATCTAATAAAATTTTTTCCTAAATGATTTTTTTGGGGGGGAGTTGAGGGGAGGGTACTAGGGTGCTTAACATATCCCTTTTTAATTTTTTTTAATTTTGAGACTAGGGCCTCACTAAGTTGCTGAGGCTGGCTTTGCACTTGGCATCTTCCTGCCTCAGCCTCCCAAGCCTCGGGGATTACATGCATGTGCCACAGTGCCTGGCTCCTTTATGTGTTTTTAAATCCAGCATTTTTAGTCAAGTAAATAATGTTCAAGCTTAGAATCCTGTGGATCTATGTGATTTTGCACAGAGAAGTCAGCACTTGATGGGGCCAAGAATGTTTTGTTCTGAATTTGATGAAGAGGATATTTGAGGCAAGGTTACTTTTTCTGTATGTCTTTAGTTTCTCTTTAGTTTGAAGAAAAAAAGACAGCATAGTAATTAAGAGCCAGAGTTTAGAACCAGACTATCTAGGTTCCTGGTGTTATGACTTGAAATAAGTTTCTTAACCTAATGTATCTCAGTTTTGTCACATAAAGTAGATGTCAGGATTAATGTGATAATTGTCTATGGAAAGCACAGGAGCAACTAGTACTTCAGTAAGTGTAGACTATCATCATTTGTTTTTAAAAATAACTTTGAAAGAGCAGAAATGAGGAATGCTTATGAGAGTCCCTTAAATCACATTTGTGTTATATTTTAATTCCCTTATTAGGATTGTGATTTGAGGTAAATATTGCCATAAAGCCAGATCTATGAAGTTAAGAGAGCAGAATATAAAAATTAGTAATCTATTCTTAGAGAAATATAGTAGCTTCTTTCAGACAGTTACAGCCATCAGCTTTATTTGTATCTATTAGTATGGTTTTGAAAAAATGATTTATAAATATATGAGTAAGAAACCTATTTCAGATGAACCAGAAAGAGCTATCAAAACAGCCAAATAAGCTAATATTGTTGAGAATTTGAGAGGAGTGGTCCACAAGTTAAATATTTTGAGTTTTTCTTCTAATAATAATGAATCAAGAAACCAGAAACTTTGCTGGATGCATTTTAAAGTTTAGAAAAATGACAGTTTAGTCAGCTCTTTATTGGGCACTCAATTCATATTAAGACCAGAAGTGTCAATACATTAAGACATGGATTGTCTCTCCCTCTGCAAATAGCCCACACTTACCTTGAGTGAATATTACTTGCTTTACCCCAAAGGCGTCTCTCTTGAGATTGCCCTCATTCTCAAGGGAATGTGTATATCTACTTCCTAAATAAATTGGTCTATATCTTTGGGGGGAAAAAAGATAATAAGGCATGGTCCAGGGTGTTATGGAAGTGGTAGTGGGGAGTATGTGTATACAGAAATGTCTCTTGTGTTTTAAGGTGGTACATGAGGTATGGGAAGGGTGTCTGGAAAAAAGTTCCATTGGTGGAATTTGGAAATGGACAAAAGATTCTAAGGTGTAGGAAGAGACCAAAGCCAGACTCCAGTGCCTATAGAGTAGAAGAACCCAAGTGTGTGTTCATTTAGTTCCTGGGTATTTATTAAGCGTCTCCTTCAAGGTACTGTTTTAGAAACTGATGCTAAACCAAATGAAGATCTCTGTCCTCATGAAACTCACAGTTAGTGGATATATTCATTATAGTTTGAGCTCGAAGAACTAAGGGTTATGGAAAGTGTTTGGATTGGTTATTTGTCAGATTTACACTACATGAATCTGTTTATAGACTGATTTCTTCAGTTTACTGGACTAGTAGAGCAAAGGTGTGGAGAAAGGAAATGACAGAAACAAGTTCTGATAGAGGCTACAAGGAGGATGGATCTTTTGTTAAAATTCTTTTTTCTTTCCATTTATGAAGTAGGGCTTTTTTTAAAAAAATACATTTATTTTATTTTATTTATTTTTATGTGGTACTGAGAATCAAACCCAGGGCCTTGTATGTGCTAGGCAAGTGCTCTACCACTGAGCCACAACCCCAGCCCAAAGTAGGGCTTTTAAAAAATATTTTTAGTTGTATATGGACATAATACATTGATTTATTTTTTTATATGATGCTGAGGATCAAACCCAGTGCCTCACACACGCTAGGCAATCACTTTACTACTAAACTACAACCCCAGACCAAAGCAGTAGGGCTTTTTTATCTTTTCCAGGCATAGGTATAAAATGTTATTTTTTCATATACAGACATTACTCTTATATATGACATATTACCAGTGCTACTTTATCACAAAAATGAAAGGATAATAATATTGTAACTTTCTACAATTACATATAAATACTTTTTATCCTATAAGCTCTTTTATTGATAAATGCCTGTTCTAGGTCAAATGTTGCTATAACATAAGGACTGAGCATATTGTTCTCTTATATAGCAAAAAACTCTACACTGACTCTAAGAAGCCCCCTTTGTGTTTTCTTTATGCTTTATAGTTATGCAGCCCTGCTAGCTGACTGGCCAGTAGTGGTCTTGGGTATGTGCACTGTGTTTATCGTGGTCTGTGCTTTGGTTGGAGTTTTAGTACCAGAGCTTCCTGACTTCTCTGATCCACTGCTGGTAAGGAGGACTGAATTTATCTATTTTCTTTAGCCTAAAAACATCTCCGTGAATTAATACCTTAATACTTATTGCATTCTGTTATTTAATGTTCCATTTTTTGTAAAACCTTTTCCAGACATCAGTGAGTATTTAACTCTTGTTCTGAAAAGTAAAAATGTGTTATCTGCTTTCTCAGGTTCTCAAGAGATCAAGGAACTTGCTTACACTCAAAAATATGGAAATTTTGCTTCTGTGTCTCCATGTTTAAGTTAAAAGGCAATCTATTTAAGAATTTTACAATATGCAAATTCTTTATCTATTAAGAACCTATTAAAGAAAATTATTTTCAGAAACTTTTTAAGAGTGAGGGTCTACCCCCAGTTCCCCCAAATAAGTTAAAGGAATCTCAGTATTACTAATAAATAACAGAATCTATTTTTAATTAAGGTTCCTTTGGAATAGAATAATAATAATAATTAAGAATAATGATATGTTCTCTGTAAAACACTATAACATTGCATAATGTAATTTAATTTGATCATAACGTTTACAAGATTAAAAATAAGTATTTACTAAATACTTAGGCATGAATTATAAAAAATAAGCTTCTGATAAGTTTTTTTTTTTCCCCTTTCCTGAGACAGGTAGCATACCACAGAATCAAACTGTTTCGTCACAATAAGTAGGTGATCATTATCATGTCAAGTCATCTTGTTTTAATGCAGCTCACCTTTGGAGTAGCTGTGAGGAATGTCTCTATGTTCTGTTGAAAACTATACATCACTTTGACATTGCTTTCCCAAGCTATTATTATGAACATACTTAGCCTAAAATGAAATACACTAATGAAAGCTTTAATATTTTGCCTTAGGGTTTTGAACCACGAGGGACTGCAATCGGACAGAGACTGGTCACATGGAATAACATGGTGAAAAATACAGGATATAAAGCAACATTAGCAAATTATCCTTTTAAATATGCAGATGAACAAGCCAAAAGGTAATTATTTATTTTATATAACTTTTAGACAAAATATTGCTTAGTGAATTCTTCTTTAACTCTCTGAGCAAAAAGCTTAAATGTGAGACAAAATCTTTTGCCATAGAATTTGCTTAACTTGTCACTGTTTTATAAGATTTTGTTATAGTAGGATGAAAAGATGAGGGTTTTTTTTTTTCCTTTTTCAGAAGTGAGAAAATTAAAATAGTTGTTTGTAATAATCTTTCCAACTTAATATCAAGTACTAAATAGGTTATGGCTTTGAGAATATATAGCTCCTGGTATGCTTATCAACCTCAAAATAGCTAGAACTTTATTGAACATCCAATTGTTGTTCCATTTTCAGCCATCGAGATGATAGGTGGTCAGATGATCATTATGAAAGAGAAAAAAGAGAAGTGGACTGGAACTTCCACAAAGACAGCTTTTTCTGTGATGTTCCAAGTAAGTAGCATCCTAGATGAACAAATCCTTCAGCAGTTTCCTAGCATGCAGGATGGAAAATGATCACAGTATAAAAGCAGTATGTGGCTAGTCATACAACTTCATTATTTCTGTCATACTTAAAGAGATTTTAGTTGAATTACTTATTTTACTCCTCTAGATTAGTCAGCCACAAGCCTGAATTTATTTGTAATAAAAATCAAGATGATTAAATTATATTTAATTTTAAGAAATATATAAATCTAATAAAATTCAAAATTTCAAGTTATATTTCAAATTCTTTATACTATTTATTTCTAGCAAGTTACAAGAACATAGTTTTAGATTAAACCCTGAAATAATATATTGAATTATCAAAATTTTTTTGAAGCTTTAATTCATTCAAAAAACATATAGTAAGAGCCTTCTATGTGCCTGCTTTGCCACTTAGTAATAGAAACAGAGATATGAACAAAATAAAGACCAGAAGTCCAAAGCTTGAATGCCCAAGGGCCTGGCAAATAATGTGAGTGAGTAAAATGTAAGATGGTTAGAATTGATGGTGACTATGAAGCACCAAAGAATGCCTATCCTATCTAAAGAAATCAGCTGATACTCAGCTACAGCGAATATGGGCTTGTGGAAATGAGGGTCCAAATATTGCAAGAAATTCCCGGAGGCCAGAAATCCTAATTTTAATGTGAAATTACAGATCTCTAAATATTGGCAGCATACTCATTAAATAAAATTCACTGTAACATAAAGTCAGCCTGATTACTCTCCAGCTGCCGGAGAAAAAGGAGTATGAGGAATAGAAGAAATACAGATGAATACATAAGACACTGATTAGCTGTATTGATTAGGAGCAAGTAGTTGTTGATAACTACAATTTCTGATTAAGTGTATATTACCATTACAGCTCTTCTGGTTTCAGCATTTTTTATTGGTGGTGAAGAGCCCTCTTAAGTGTGCATGTATTTTCCTGTCTTCTTAGAGCACTAGAAGACCTGATAGAATCTTTGATGTCTCTAGATCTTGCCAAGACTCCAGATCTTTGTTTAGAACACATTTCACTGTATAGTAATAGAGAGAAAGAAAGAGGTTAGGCAGAATCTTTTAGGTTAGGCAGAATCTTATAGAATCTTATTGCTTAGGAAACAATAAAAGTTTCCTTTTCTGTATCTTCTGTTTAAAAAACAGGAGAAAAACTGAGCTTGGGTTCGTTGAATGTTCTGGCTATTTTATTTCTCTCAAAGTGTTACTTTACATTACTGCTTAATCAACATCTGGTTAGTTAATATCTTAACCAGAAAAAAACATTAGCAAGTTCATGTTTATATTTCAGTTGTCAACACCGAATATTTGTCTCATAAGTAATAGGTTCTGCCTTGACCAAAGCCATTATCAGCTCTATGTAAATGAAGTGTTTGTTTCTATGAGGCTAATTTTGCTCCCAAATCAATATACATAAGATTATAGCTACTTGATAAAGGCAAGAATTTACCAAAGAAAACTTGGTGATCATGAATAAAACCTTTTTTGTACAATAAAGCTTTTTTTATAAATTTACCAGTTAACTTTAATGCAATTTGGCATTTTAGGTAATATAAAATTAATCTACTTTTACTTGATACATACTAAATGCTTTTAATGACTGAAGAGACAGAAGCAATACTTATTGAGCACATATTTTCATTATCATGTAATTCTCACAGCCATTTGAGGTAGATGTTGCTGTCACCATTTTATAAATGAGGAAGCAGACTCAGAGAAGCACAAATAATCAGTGGCAGGACCTGATTACAGCCAGATCTGACTCCAAAGACCATGCTCTTTCTAGTATATCACATACCTGCCTTACTGAGAAACATAGTTTGTATTAATCTGATTTCAAAATATTTTATCTAGATTCTGTTGTACCAGAGACTTCAAGTACTCACCCAGAATATGCAGTATATTTGGGATCCTGGCTGGCATTCTATTCATATTTGTATTCTGTTTTCAGAACTTTAAAATTGATTACCTGCCATCTTTCCTCTGTAGTAAGCTGCCAGAGAAAATATCCTGATAATCTATTCTTGATATTCCCTAGTGCATCATTCTTCCATTTTATATACCATTATGGTGAAATTAAGAGGAAGGCATTTGATTAATTTCCTGCTGAAAGTTCATATGTATGTTTCTTCCTAATTATAATCTGATCAGAAATAAATTTGTTTTATATTTACTTACTATAATTTTAAGATAGAGTAAATAGACACAGGCTTTGAGTTAAGGCAATATTAAAGCCCAGTTTTTAAAAATTTTTATTTTTTGTATTCTGATTTGTATACATGACAGCAGAATGCATTATAATTCATATTACACATAGAGAGAGAGCACTAAAGCCCATTTCTGTTGGTTTATTTAACATTTTCTCCTGGAATTCATCATGGGAAAGAATTCCCTGCTAATGAATTGTCTATGTGGTTCCCCAACTTTTGTATCTGAATTTTGAGTCTTATGAAATAAATGAATAATGTATAAACCTTCTTCTTTTCTTTTTTTCATACACCAGGTGACCGATATTCCAGAGTAGTATTTACCTCAGCAGGAGGAGAGACATTATGGAATTTACCCGCAATTAAATCAATGTGCAATGTAGATAATTCCAGGGTATGTAAAATAAAACTGAAATCTGTTTAGCACAAGTAAGGTTTATTATTGAAACTGCCCGTGGTGTCTGATCAGATGAAAGTACTTAAGAGGCTTACCTACTGAGGAGGAAACACCAGCAGGCCAGCATTAGGTTCTTTCAGATCCCAGGATCAAAGTGTCCCTGTGTTGCCCCATCTTTACAACACACTATCTTCCTTAGTGAACAGCTTTTTTCCTTTGCCACTCATGTTCTCTCTCCATGATAGTCTCTTCTGTTATTTCCCAGCATATTGCCTTTCAGGATAATAGCTAAAATTGTATTTTCTCTCTTCTCTAATCTAGTTTCATTGTTCTCTTCATCCCCTCTGCCCAGGCAGTTGTCAGCATCTTAATTATGCTATTAAATGCCTGCCTCTCTGGCAATCAATGGGTCATTTGAGCCAGTGACCTCAAAGGAAAATTTAGGGAACAGGCTAGGAAAGGGACATCAAAGGGCATAACTACAGATGTATGTAAATGGCCCTACTAATACAAACCAGAATGCCCTAAACTCTAAACACCTTGCTGCTTTAGAAGACACCAGCATACAAGAAGACAGGCACCTCCTCCCTCAGTCTTCTCCAGAGCCAAACAGATGTCAGCACCAGAATATATAAAGTCAATCCCCTTGGATTTGGAAGAGCTGTCAATTTCATGTGTTCAGAGCCAGTTTCTCCAAGTAGAAACTGTTGTCTGGTATTGCTGATGGGCCTGTCCAAGCACAGCAACTTGGCAGGAAAGGAACTCATTTTATGTTCTTAGCATAAATCTAAAATGTAAAATCATTGGTTAGTTAAAAAGTCATCTGCCCTGCTAATAGCTAGCCTACCAACCCAATGCAATGTTCATTCTATCAACAGGATTTCTTAATGGAATAGAAGGTAGAAAGGACTCTTAGAGGTCACCAGACCAACAGTCTCATTGTGCTGACATGAGTACCTTCCAAGAAGTAAGTGGCCACATCCTCTAGTTAGTTGGTCCCAGAACTTCTGGCTTTACTCCATTCTCCATTCTCCAAGGCTATTTATACATTTTGAAAATGACTTTCCCTTTGATTAGAACATCAATATTCTGTCAGTGCCACCTTCTCTTTATCCAACTCCAAATAGACCAAAGCCATAAATGACCTAAAAACAGACCAAAGCTTCTTAATCAGTGGCCAATTTTTTATTTGCTGTATTTTCTTCTCTTCACAGCTATCAGGTACTTAGATGGAGGCTGTGAACACATGTTTTCCTTGTCATGTTTTGCAACACTTCTCACATAGGAAGTTAACTCTAAAGTAGGAGATGAGTAAGGACACTATGTGTAAGAGTTTATGCTATGTACTTATACATGACTCAAAATGGACCTGTGGTTTGAGATTTATAATACCTTTAAACAGATGAGAAGTTGAGCTTAGAGAAGTTAAGCCAGTCTGGTTACTTTATCATCACACTTAAGATGAGAGCATGTCATTAACTTCTATGTCTTTTACTCTTATACCCTTTACCTGGGATTGATCTTCAGACCCTGCCCCACTTTTCCTGAAGACTTGGAAGTGATTGAATTCATTGTTAATTAATAGCTCATGTTGTTGAGGTATTGACCAAAGTTTTCTAAACACGGTGCTATGAATTATTTCATTGAATCCTCGTGACAGAGTTGTGAACCAGATACCATTATTTGTCCATTTTATAGATGGGGAAAGTTTACACACATGGTGACAGATTCAGGATTTGGAACCAGCCACTTCTAAATCCAGAATCTTTCCTCACTGTGATTTGTGATTCCATAGTGAAGAAGATACTCCCAACCCCATTTTTATTTAGTTTTGTTTACTGTATATGCCATTTCCTACTCAGATGAACCTTAATGAGTCAAAACGGCCTAGAATAAGTATTTGGTTATTGTTGTTTCTGTTGTTGTTTTTAAGAGCTAGCAATTTCATGAGTGTGTGTGAGATCAAATGGATTCAAGAACTCAAAAGCCAGTAAGCAATATTGTGCCATGATAGCTTTCATTAGTGAAAACAGTGTCTGTCTATGTGTGTGTGTTAGATGATAAAAATCAGCATATAGAGGTAGCTTACAAAAAGGCATACACAATAAGAAACAAGTTAATTACATTAAGGGAAAATAATGGGGAGGAAATAATAAAGCTAAGAGAGAGATGAAGTGTATAAGAATCCATACCCAAAATCTGCATTTGCTGGTGGTGAATTGCAGATTTGTCTCTAATCTCCCATAAGATGGAAAAGTTGGAGGAGGGGGGTTAAAATCAGTGTCAAAAGTCACTGATAGGTTAATAAATATGATTTTTTAAGCCGAATCCCTGCTTTTGCTCATGCTAAAAGGGAATCATTTTTCATAGTCTTCATAAAAGAAGTGTGATGTCACAAAGTTCCTAGCAGCATGCTTATAATATTGTATCTTAACCGATTAGTAAAACACACCTTAGGTAGGCTGGTAATAAGAAAACCTGATGGCAAAAGCATTTCTACAAGGGATTAAAACAATCTAAATATTTGCTTTTTAATGATTTGGCTTGATGCATTTGCAAAAGTTATACTAAAAGAATAGATAAAGCTTTGCTTGGATTGTTTCTCTTTACTGGATTCACAATAAGGGTTGGACAGCTATGAGTTCAATTTTGTAATCCCTGGAAAGAACAGGATGGGCATATTTTCTAGGTCACCCATACACTTTGCCATTTAATTGGGAAGAGAGTAGTATTGTGGTATTCTTGTGGGAATCTTAGAAACAGACCCAAGACCCATGTCTGAATGAATGATTGGTATGGCCAGTTCCAGATCCACACCAATAAATGAACAAATAGACAATGAAAAAGTATGGTTATTTGGCTGGACATGGTGGAATGTGCCTATAGTCCCAGCTAGTGATGAGGTTGAGGTGAAAGAATTGTGAGTTCAAGGCCAGCCTGGGCAACATAGGCAATGTAGCAAGACCGTGTCTCAAAACAATGTTATAATTTTAGCTCGTTAAATTAATATTTTACCAGATGTAAACATCTTTGTATTCTAGTTTCAGATTTTGAAAAATAATAATAAATGACCTTTCTTACAATGTATTCATCTGATATCTTAAGTTGTAACTTGGGTTAACAGTTCTAGCTTTCAGATTACTGCTATATTATTTTTAAGTCTCCTATCTGAGGCTCCTTTTAGGATTTTTATGTGTTTTGGTAGTTTGAGCAGACAGTCCTGAGACAGTCTTTCTTCTCCACCCCTCAATCCTGCCTAGTGTCCATAAGCACTTTATTATTAACACCTCTTAAGTTCAGTGGGACACAATCAATGATCGAGAGCAGAAGAGCTTAATTGTTAGTGAGTCAACGCCAAAAAATGTACAGTAATCAACATAGTATCTCAGTGAGGCCAGATGTTTCACTTGTCTCCTGCCTGTTACAAGACAATTAGTTCAAACTCATATGCCACTTATCCTCATAATTCACAGAGGCATAGGTTTCCAGAGTGATTGACTTCTGTTTCTGATGCTGTTGCACACCTAACAGAAATGGTCAATTTCTTAGATGCTCAACAGACCCTCAGTCAATTTCCCTGATCCTCACATTACTTCCTTCTACCCTTGGACATCCTAAGGGACACCCTGGCAGATAGTCATTAATAACCAGAAGTGTGTTTCTGTAATCTCAACTCTCTGGAAATCGTTTACCCTTATTGGTCTTTGTACTTTGTAGACACTGGCGCTCTGAGAACTCAGCTTATAAAAAGGATTTGAAATGTGGTGGTGCCTGAGACTCTGGCTTAGTAAGGTAACCTTTGAGGACAGCTAGAATTCCCCTGAAGCTTAGAGCTAAAAACCCAAAAGTATGTATTCTGGTCCTTATTTTAAAGAGGCCTATGGAGCCCTTGCCTTCTCTTTTCTCCCTAGGATCCCCTTCACCTTGTAATACATGGGGGACTTTGTTACATGGGGAAGGAGAGTCTAGCAGTCAGTTGAACCTGGTATTAAGGGCTTAATTTTCCTCCCTTTATTCTTTTCTCAGCTTCTTGAAATATCGCCAACTTTAGCCAGTAGTTTTAAAAGTTAAGGTATCATTTTAAACTCTGCTGGTTTCTTCTTTTTCTCTCTTCTCTTCCTTTACCCCCTACTTTATGTCAACTCCACCCCTGCCACTATCTAACTAGGGAAATGTGCAAAGACATGTTATAACCACATAAGCAAAATGATTCCCTAAAATATCCAATTTGTGAATAACTAGAATTAGAAGGTTTGTATTTCTCCTGAGAGTTACAAGAAATTGCTTTCACAAACTCCATTTTTATTTTTATAAACTTCAAAGATTTTGAAATTATTCCAATGAATCTTTCTAAAAAATAGGATAAAAATGTAACTACCAATCTCGTTAAGCCCCACAGTACATTACATGCCTCTGTATTTTTCTATTTCAGACACAAATGACCAAGTTAGTGCCACTGTCATACCATACTGACAGACTTTGGCACTCCTTCTGCAGTTCCACATAAGCCTTCATACACAATACACACATTAAATTATTTTTTTTTGTATTGGGAATTGAACCCAGGCTCCCACACATGCAAAGCAAGTGCTCTACACACTGAGCTACATGACTAGCTCTTTTATTTTGTGACAGGGTTTCCATAACTTACCTAGGTTGACCCCAAATTTAATAATCCTTCTGCCTTAGCTGCCCTAAAAACTGAGATTATAAACATGTGCCACTGCACCTGATTATTATTTATCTTTTTATGTGATTTCCCTGCTACCTTATGACCAACTTGAGGGTAAAGACCAGTTTATTTTGTATAAGTGCTCAGTGAATATTTTTCCCTTTTAATGGATGGACAGATGGGAATACATGGCTTTATTCCCCGAAAGTGTAGACAGTTCCCTGAAAGTGTAGAGAGTTCCTGGAGCTCTGATTCCTTTAAATTCAGGATGCTGGTATCCAACTCAGGGTAGCTAGAGGGTACCAACCATGATGTCTTTTGTCTGTCCTTATTTCTTACCCTGTAAGAGTCCTCAAAAAATAGTTTTTCCAAAGGTGTGCATCAGCCAATATCACTTTTAAATTTGAGAATAGGTTCCTAGTAACTAACTAGTATTTATTTTTGATAGCAGCCCTCAAAGTAATAGTTGGTCTGTATTTATAATGTCCAACTTCTTAATCTTCGGTCAAATATACACATTTAAAAACTCCACTGTTATTGGAAAAGGTTATTCAAGGACAGATTTCTGTGCATTCTTTCCCGGTTTCACCCAGCAACCAGATTCCCTTTATCTTTGACATTTGATTATTTCAGCAACTGCAGATATGTTCCTTCTAGCTGATGTTGGGTTTCATAATGAATGCAATTCATTTTCTTCCTTTAGAAAACTGTCAGGCAGTAGGGTTGCATTTTCTTTTTTTTTACCAGGTTGACCCCAGGAGCTTGCACGTAATTTCTTTGGGGGGTAAAACCAGTTATCTGCCATGAAAAGCAGAGAGATACCTTTCCAGGGTTCCCTGTAATTCCCAGGGTTCAGTTTTCCCCAAATGGCAGACATCAATGATTTTATCTGGAAACAAATATGAATTATCCTATCTTAAGAAATGTTAATTATTGCTCTTCAGAAATAAGTTTAGAAGTAAAAGTCTGTGAAAGTAAATGCTATTTTACCATGTTTGAATAATAACCATCTTGCCTCATTTTTCTTTAATCCCATAAAATGTATTTTAAAAAAATAGCTTTCTTATGAAAATCTTCAAACATATGCAAAAGTAGACAAAATAGCATAATGTAGACAAAATAGTATAAAGAGTCCCCATGTGTAGGTAACCCAGTTTCAATAGTTCCCAACACACACTTAATCTTGTTTCATCTGTACTCACCCTACTGATGAGTCCCAGTCCTTATCTTAGTAGCCAGTGTTTAGGGGATCATTGAGTAACTAGGCTCTTAGATAAACCAGAGTTCCAAAGAAGTGGTTTATGCCAACTTCCCCTCTACTTTGAAAAAAAATGTTTCAGTGAAAACCCAGACTAATCAAGGTAGAGGGTGATTTTAATCCTACTAGAAAAATAACTATTCACACCCTCCTTGAACTTTGGAGTTTCTTCTCTGGAACATCCTTTGGTAAATAGAAATAAGGGAACACTTGATTGGACTGGGACATCTTTAGCTGTGGTCCTTCAAAGAGAAGTCTCTGGTCAGGCTCAAGAAAAGGGGGATGTTTCTTATTTTTCCCCTCGAGGAAAAGGGACTATTCATCTGATTTACAGAATGAGGTTGTACAGATTTACCATGTTCTAGCAGTACTGGAACTGCTAGAGTATGATTAAGTCTGCACAACCCCAATAACAGCAGGGGTTTTTTAAATGTGTATATTTGACCAAAGATTAAAAAGTTGGACATTATAAATACAGACCAGCTACTACTTTGAAGGCTGCTATCGAAAATAGCATCCAGAAATAAATGGTAGCCAGGCATGGTGGTGCACGCCTGTAATCCCAGCAGCTCAGGAGGTTAAGGCAGGAGGATCACAAGTTCAAAGCCAGCCTCAGAAACTTAGTGAGTCCCTAAGCAACTTAATAAGACCCAGTCTCAAAATAAAAAATAAAAAGGCCTCAGGACATGGCTTAGTGGTTGAATACCCTGGGGTTCAATCCCCAGTACCAAAAATAAATAAATGCTATTTAGCCACTGGGAACTAGTCCTCAAATTCAAAAGTGATGATGGCTGATGCACACCTTTAGGAAAACTGGGGTTTTTTCAGTTGTACATGGACAAATAGCTTATTTATTTATTTTTATATGGTGTTAACAATCGAACCCAGTACTTCACATGTGCTAGGCAAGCACTCTACCCCCTGAGCCACAACCCCAGGCCCTAGAAAAACTGTTTTTGAGGACTCTTACAGGGTAAAAAATAAGGACAGAGAAACGACATCATGAATGGTAGCCTCTAGGTACCTTAAGCTGGATATCAGCATCCTGAATTTTAAGGAATTGGAGCTCAAGGAATTGTCTACCCTTTTAGATAGTAAGCTCATGTTACTATATGTCCATCAATTAAAAAGAAAAACCATTGAGTACCTACACAAGATGAAGTGGCCCTTCCCCTCAAAGTTTGAAGAAGTTTTCAATTTACTATACCAAGAACAACCATAAGAAGGGAACCCTTCTCCAAGAATGATGTCCTAAATGGAATACTGCCTATGCTAAGTCCAAAATTATCAGGCTAATGTACACCAGTCCCCCATTTACCAAGAGGAAGTTCCCCAAAAAAGTTTTTTTGCTGACATGATAAATTTTAAAAAATGTGAAAAAAATAAATTGTGTTTATTAATTATATATGTTATTTAAAATCAGATATAAATAATGTGTAAAGTTAGAAACACTGCCCCAGTCTTCCTATACTTCAGGAAATAATTTTAATCTAAATCTTTCATGAATCTTGACAACAGTCCTTTTGAATATTATCAGGGTCAATTTTGATTCACTGGAAAGTTTTTGTCTTAGTCTCTTCAGGCTGCTATAACAAAATACCTTAGACTGGGTGAGTTATAAACAACAAATTTATTATAATTCTAGAGTCTAAGTTCAAAATCAAGGAGCCAGCAGATTCAGTTCAGATGAGGGACCATTCCTCACAAGATGGTGCCTATTATGTGTCTTATATGGCAAAGGGATAAAAAAGCTCCCTGGAACCACTTTTTGAAAGGGCACCAATCCCATTAATCACCTCCCAAAAGGCCTACCTTTTGATATTACCACTTGGGGATTAGGTTGTAGCATATGAATTCTTGGGGAATAAACATTCAGGCACTGACAGTTTTCTAGGGAATCCCATCTTTGCTTTCAACTCTTGATTGAGACTTACTACCTTTGTCACCAAAAATTTCATGTTTCTCCAAATTGTAGGCAAAGCCACAAATTTGTTTTATTTATCAATTGGACAGTTGTTTTCATAATCCTGTATATATACCTAAGCTTCATAGCCTGTCTACTTTATTGCTGTTCATAGTGACTTTGAAAAGGCTTATTTACTAAGTGGGTATTAATTTTATCTCCCTTCTTAAATCAAACTTGCATTGGTTGATACTACTTTACAACTTATATGTCATTCCCAACAGCAGTTCACAATTCAAAATAAAATAACCTCTAGGTTATTTATTAGTATATGTATTCCCTAGAGTACCAATATGAGATAGATTGTGGGGAAGAATCTCACCTCCTACACAAACTGCTACCTAATTTAAGAGGTTGACTGTTTATCTACTTCTTTAACTTTGCTGGCCCTCAAGGCAATAAGGCCCTTCTCATTGGTGAGCCAGTTTAAACTCCAGTGCTTCTGTGTCTCTGTCTCTGCAGATCAGATCTCATCCCCAGTTTGGTGATCTGTGCCAGAGGACTACTGCTGCTTCCTGCTGTCCCAGCTGGACACTGGGAAACTATATCGCCATTCTGAACAACAGATCATCCTGTCAAAAAATTGTTGAGCGAGATGTTTCTCATACCTTGAAGCTGCTTCGGACCTGTGCCAAACACTACCAAAATGGCACACTGGGGCCAGATTGCTGGGACATGGCAGCCAGAAGAAAGGATCAGCTCAAGTGCACCAACGTGCCACGCAAATGTACCAAGTACAATGCCGTGTACCAGATACTCCATTACTTGGTGGACAAAGACTTCATTACCCCAAAGACGGCTGACTATGCCATGCCAGCTTTAAAATACAGCATGCTTTTCTCTCCCACAGAGAAAGGGGAGAGCATGATGAACATTTACCTAGACAACTTTGAAAACTGGAACTCTTCCGATGGTGTGACTACCATCACTGGGATTGAGTTTGGGATCAAACACAGTTTGTTTCAAGATTATCTTCTCATGGATACTGTGTATCCTGCCATAGCCATTGTGATTGTCCTTTTAGTCATGTGTGTCTACACTAAGTCCATGTTTATCACTCTGATGACAATGTTTGCAATAATTAGTTCCTTGATTGTCTCCTATTTTCTCTATCGTATAGTATTTAACTTTGAATTTTTTCCTTTTATGAACCTCACTGCACTCATTATTTTGGTTGGAATTGGAGCAGATGATGCTTTTGTCCTGTGTGATGTTTGGAACTACACCAAATTTGACAAGCCCCATGCTGAGACTTCAGAAACAGTAAGCATCACCTTGCAACATGCTGCCCTCTCCATGTTCGTCACCAGTTTTACCACTGCCGCTGCCTTTTATGCTAACTACGTTAGCAACATTACAGCCATCAGATGCTTCGGGGTTTACGCGGGGACAGCTATATTGGTCAATTATGTTTTGATGGTCACGTGGCTGCCAGCTGTCGTCGTACTGCATGAACGATACCTCCTCAATATATTTAGTTGCTTCCGGAAGCCCCAGCAGCAAATATATGGTAACAAAAGCTGCTGGACAGTGGCTTGCCAGAAGTGCCACAAAGTACTTTTTGTCATTTCAGAAGCATCTCGGATATTTTTTGAAAAAGTGTTACCATGCATCGTCATCAAGTTTCGCTACCTTTGGCTCTTCTGGTTCCTAGCCTTAACTGTAGGTGGGGCCTACATTGTGTGTATAAATCCAAAGATGAAGCTGCCCTCGTTAGAGTTATCTGAGTTCCAAGTGTTCAGGTCATCTCATCCTTTTGAGCGTTATGATGCTGAGTACAAAAAGCTTTTTATGTTTGAGCGTGTTCACCATGGAGAGGAGCTCCACATGCCCATCACAGTTATCTGGGGCGTGTCTCCAGAAGACAATGGCAATCCATTAAATCCCAAGAGTAAAGGGAAGTTGACACTTGACAGCAGTTTTAACATTGCTAGCCCAGCTTCCCAGGCCTGGATTTTGCACTTCTGTCAAAAACTGAGAAACCAGACATTCTTCTACCAGACCGATGAACAGGACTTCACCAGCTGCTTCATTGAGACATTCAAACAGTGGATGGAAAACCAGGACTGTGATGAGCCTGCCCTGTACCCATGCTGCAGCCACTGGAGCTTCCCCTATAAGCAAGAGATTTTTGAACTGTGCATTAAAAGAGCTATCATGGAGCTAGAGAGGAGTACAGGGTACCATTTGGATAGTAAAACCCCAGGGCCAAGGTTTGATATCAATGATACTATCAGGGCAGTAGTGCTAGAGTTCCAAAGTACCTACCTCTTCACACTGGCTTATGAGAAGATGCATCAGTTTTATAAAGAGGTGGACTCATGGATTTCCAATGAGCTGAGTTCTGCACCTGAGGGCCTCAGCAATGGTTGGTTTGTCAGCAATCTGGAGTTCTATGACCTCCAAGATAGCCTCTCTGATGGCACTCTCATTGCCATGGGACTCTCTGTCGCTGTTGCATTCAGTGTGATGCTGCTGACAACTTGGAACATCATCATAAGTCTTTATGCCATCATTTCAATAGCCGGAACCATATTTGTCACTGTTGGTTCTCTTGTCCTGCTGGGCTGGGAGCTCAACGTTTTAGAGTCTGTCACCATTTCGGTTGCGGTTGGCTTGTCTGTTGACTTTGCTGTCCATTATGGGGTCGCATACCGCTTGGCTCCAGATCCCGACAGAGAAGGCAAGGTGATTTTCTCTCTGAGTCGCATGGGCTCTGCCATTGCCATGGCCGCTCTGACCACCTTCGTGGCCGGGGCCATGATGATGCCCTCCACGGTCCTGGCTTACACCCAGCTGGGCACCTTCATGATGCTCATTATGTGTATCAGCTGGGCTTTTGCCACCTTCTTTTTCCAGTGCATGTGTCGGTGCCTTGGACCACAGGGTACCTGTGGTCAGATTCCTTTACCTAAAAAACTACAGTGCAGTGCCTTTTCCCATGCCTTGTCTACAAGTCCTGGTGACAAGGGACAAAGCAAAACACATACCATAAATGCTTATCATTTAGATCCCAGGGGCCAAAAATCTGAACTGGAGCATGAGTTTTATGAATTAGAACCTCTGGCATCCCACAGGTGTACTGCCTCGGAGAAGGCTACTTTTGAAGAGACACACATCTGCTCTGAATTTTTCAACAGCCAAACAAAGAATTTAGGGATGCCTGTGCATACAGCCTACAACAGTGAACTCAACAAAAGCACCAAAAGCGAAACTTGCTCCTCCTTGTTACAGCCCTCTCTTGAAAGGCACACTATGTGTCACCTCTTCTCTCTGAATCAGAGATGTAGCTGCCCAAATGCCTACAAACACTTGAAATATGGCCCACACTCTTGCCAGCAGATGGCTGACTCCCTGTGTCACCAGTGTGCTCAAAGTGCTAGCAGCTTTGTGCAGATCCAAAATGGTGTGGCACCTCTGAAGGCTGCACACCACACTGCCGAGGGCTTCGTGCATCCCATCCCACATATCCATCACTGTCCTTGTCTGCAGAGCAGAGGGAAGCCCCCTGGAATGCAGAATTCCCTGCCACAGAATTTACTCCTCCACCCAGTGCAGCACATTCAGGCCCAAGAAAAAATTGGTAAGACCAGTGCACACAATCTCCAGAGCATAGAAGAGCATCTCCCCAGAATGGCAGATCCGTCATCTTTCGTCTGCAGAGGCGCTGGATCTTTACTACAAGTGTGTTGTGATCCTGAGAATAACCAAAGGGGACTCTGTAAACACGGCGACATGGAGAATATTGAAGGCAGCGGAGGGACTGAAACCAAGGTTTCTCAGTTACCAAATCAGACTGACCAAGCAGAGAGGAAAGTGGAGCTGAGCTTGTCGCAGACGGATGTTATTGTTAACTCAGAACTTTTAAATCAGAGTGAACCAAAATTTATATTTAACCATTTAATGGGGGAGGCTGGTTATAGGTCCTGCCCAAATAATCCACAAAGTTGTGGCAGAATTGTAAGAGTGAAGTGCAATTCTGTGGACTGTCAGATGCCAAACCTTGAAGCCAATGTGCCTGCTGTATTAACACACTCAGAACTTTCTGGTGAAAGTTTGTTAATAAAAACACTATAATAAATATAGTATTAAATTCAGAACCAGTGCCTCAATCATTCTTTTGAGATTAGAATAAAATCCAACAGTTTAGAAAGGGAATACAAAAACAAAAACTGGCAAGGTTCACCTTGTTAAAAATTACAGAATATTTTCACATTTCATTTGATCACCAAACAAACACAAAAACCTAGTGAGTGTGTTAGATTATTGGATTCATTCATTATTGGACTTTTTGTTTCAAAAGGTATAATTTTTTTACATTTATACCCACCTTGGAAAATAATTGTCTTTCTATCCTTCAACACTAGTGAATCAAAGATTTCTAGTGTGAATTACCTAGATGTTTTCACTCTCTCAGGCAGTTCTATTTATTCTGGTATATTTGGTTGTGGTAATAAAAACTTTTGATTACTCAATATTCACACAAGGATTTACCTTCATGTTAGTAAAGCCACTTAAGTTGGGATCTAGGAATTACACAACATTAAAATTTACATTTTAGATAGGCAGTCGCCCATGCCTATAATCTTAGCAACTCAGAAGACAGGCAGGAGGATTGCAAGTTCAAGGCCATCCTGGGCAACTTAATGAGACCCTATCTCAAAATAAAGTTTAAAAATAAATGCGCATGGTGGTAGTTTTTTGCACTTTTGGTGAGACCTTACTTAAAAACTAATTTCCAAGCACCTTAAGAATTCATTTCACTTGTTTGCGTGTGTAGACCATACATGAAGCCAATGTCTCATTTATATCCAAACTGGTATCTTTCCCAATTAGCCAAGAGGTACAATTCTGTTTGGGTTTTTTTTTAAATTTGTTTTAAGGAGTTATACATGACAGTAGAATGCATTTTTGATACATCAAATACAATGAAGTATAATTTCTCATTCTTCTAATTGTATATGATGTGGCTAACCCAGGAGTCATGAGCACCTTCTTGTCTCAGACCCACTTATGTTAGTGCCACAGAAGGAAGAGCCTGGATGAAAAAACATAATCACCTAAAACAGTGTTGTACTTTGCAGGATAAATTGATGAGAAATATGGGCCCAAGTCAGATGTGTCTTTGCCTCTTGAAGCATTCAGAGTGAGAGATCCTGTATGAAGCTTTGCTTCCATCTTGACCCCCAAAGGACCATATTCAGAAGGCTCTTCTTCCACAATAAGCTCCATCTCAAGATGGGTTAGACTGCACTGTGCAGCTAACACCTGGAAATGCTAAGCCTTCAGACAGCATCTTAAATGACACTGTGCATCTTGCCTTAGATCTGTCCGCAGTAATTGAGCTGTTGGAGCATGCTTTCTGTGCAGTACTTCAGGTGACTTGGCCTCCATCACAGCGTGTCATCTGATACTGCATGCATTCCAGCTCCTTACAGGGAGAGCCCACTACATTCTGCTTCCTCCTGGGATTCTACCTCCAGTTTGGTCCTCAGAAGAATTTGGAGGGAATCTTTCTAAGTGTTTTTCAAAGTTATATTAATTATTTAGAAAATAACTATTCTTAGGATAGTTTTCCAAATTAAATCTGCATATTATTCCCAGGCCTGAAAAAAATGCTATAAAAAGCTGGAAGGGACCTTATGGGTCAGCAACTCGGGCCCACCTCCACCAAACTGCATTTCTACTAAGTAATTTTCCAGCTGGTGCTTGCCTCCTTCAGTGATAAGTAACTCACTACGTGTCTAGCGTGGTTAATCCAAAATCTGTTGTTTTTCTACCAGTTGATCCCCATTCTGTTCTCTGAAGTGAAAGCAAACATCTCTGATCTTTCTGCCACATGCTGTCTCTTTGGATACTTGAAAACAGTAATCACATCCTCCCACCAGCATCCCCAGTGCACTCAATTGTTCTTCCAGTTGCTGGGCTTTAGGCAATTAGAACACGGATGGAACAATTATGGTCTTCTTTGGATAAATTTGTCAAATTCCTTATGCAAGTCTAGTACCCAAAACAGATTCTGAGAGCACACAATGAGGAAGACCAGCCCTCAGGAAACTGGATAGTACTTCTGCTAATTCACTTAGAGATGGAAATAACTTTGGGCTCAAATTTTACAGCTAGTTCGCTTGGAGCTTACAGGGGACTAAATGCACTTGGTCACTCTCTTATACTCCTGCTAAGCTGCTGCTTTAAACCAGTTTTCACACTGAAGTTCAGGAGCTTATGTCTGTTCCCATTGAGTTCAATTCTGTTAAATAAGGAAAAGTGGGCAGAAGGGAACAATTGAAAATAGGACTCCCAATACCCAACTCTAATTTTGTTTTCCTTACAAAATGTGTAATCAAGTTGGCTAGTAAAAATGGAGTGATCCAAAAGCACATTTTTTTTTGTTCAGCAGAGAGACAGACTGAATTCAAGGACAAATAGGAGATACAAATTTCTTTATAGATAGTCTAACCTAAAAGACTTTCATGTGAGTGAAGTGTCATTAGATTTAGAAAATAGAAAGTGGAGTGAAAGAAGGCAGAGGGACAGCCTCTGTGCTCTCCTAGGGCCTCCATTGGGCCTTGCTGCTATTTTCTACCCTGTCTGCACTGGACCGAGGGCCTCCTGGGGCCTTTCGTCCTCCCTAGATCTGCTTAATTACCCTGAACCTTGAATTCGGCAGTGAACCCTTTTTACATTTATTTCATCTGTGGACTTTGGATTTGAACTACGTTTTTTATACAGAGATTTTTTTATTTTTTTATTTTTTAAGAATTCTTTTGCTGGGTCTAGAAAGCTTCTTAAATTTTTTCTTCTTTTTAAATTCCTCATTACCGGACAACAAAGGATCGCTATTTCTAGTTCTGATTTATAAAGAAGTTTCATCCATTATCCTTTTCTACATGATTTGTAAAGCAGATGAGAGGATAAATTACACATTGTGAAATATTTGTTAGGTGGGAAGGTACCTGATGATGGAAAGGGCTTGCATACTGCTTATTTCTAACACATGTTAGAAATAAGGTTTGAGTCCATGTTACCAAATTTGTTCCCAACCTCTTCCCTGCAAGGTCCCTTTTAAAATCCTATTTTTGGTTGAGAAGTGAACCAGACCAAAGCAAGAAGTTTCTCACAGGGATAAGCTGTATTGTGTGAAATAATTATGCAGCTTCATCTGTGTGTATTCATTTCTTGTGTATAATTGCTGTAAGGTGCGCACAACTTCCTAAAACAACGTCCTTTAAAGGAATACAAAGCAGTTATTAAATCTCATTACAATAATCTATGCCCCAGCCTCAATCACTCTTAATTTTAAATCTTGGGCAAGGGGTGATTTGAAGAGTGGTTTTATCAACGTGTACGACAGGAAATTAGGAAGTGTTCAGGATTCCCATTGTCTCACATGGAAACCCTCTTTCCACCAGCAGTTAGAAGAGTTTCTGAATGAAATATGAGAAAAGAGTGACTTTGAAAACAGCTGTATCTTTTCACTTTAATGAGGAGAGTCATTTTAGAAGAAAAAGAGATTTGTATTTAAAAAAGAAACAGACTCATTTGAGTTTTTTCATAAGGTTCAGACACAGCAAAAAGTAGAAATCTGAGGAAATCATGAGATATTTGTTTTTAATGCAAAAGGAGATATCATGTCTAAATATTTATATAGTGTGTCTTTCCAAAATGTTTGCTGGTAAATTTAACTTTAGCTCCAATTATTTTTTTATATGTATTTTTTAGTTGTAGTTGGACCCAATACCTTAATTTATTTATTTTCATGTGGTCCTGAGGATTGAACCCAGGGCCCCGCACGTGTGAGGCGAGTGCTCTACCACTGAGCCATAACCCCAGCCTCTCCAACTGTTTTTACACTGTTTTTTGTAAACAAATTTCATTAATGTTTAGTTTTATACACTAATTGTTTCCTCATTAAATATATAGAAAATTGTTTTAATTTAACTGCCATAATGGTTTTTGTTTGGTTTTTGGTTTGGGTGTGGGGGTTGTTTGTTTTTTGTTTTGTTTTGTTTTATTTTCCTACTGGGGATTGAACCCAGAGGCGCTTCCTCAGCCCTTTCTTTATTTTTTTTTTTTTTTTGAAACAGGTCTCACTAAGTTGCTAGGCTAGCCTCGAACTTGTGATCCTTATGCCTCAACCTCCCAAGTGCCCAGCTATAATTTTCTATTTTGAAATTTCAAAAGGCATTTCTTTTTCCATTAGCTTTATAAACCAAAGGGTATACACACCTGAGATCAACTCACTGAGTAACAAGGATCAGCAGGGTTTTCCCATCTGCTCCCCTAACCCATCAGTTTGAACATGAAGTTGACTGTAACAGTGCCGGCTAGGATGCAGTAGAGTATGATGGACATCTCTTGACATAAGTGTGCTTTCCTGAGCTTTGGGGGGAGGGGGCTGTGAATGGTGTTACAGGTCTTAGGAGGGGCATGAAATAAAGCAATGACATATTGCATCCCAAAATCATCATCCAAGAGAGGGCTCTCCCTAGCCTGGATGTTCTTCAAGTGTTCTATTGTAGCTAACCTTAAGAGCCAGGTGCTTTTTTTGAAGTAAGAAGCTTAGTCAGTAGCCTGACTTGCAGAGTATATGTCTCTTTGGGGGGAATTTAAGCCAACATTCAAAATACCGGTCAATACCTCCTCTTCTTACCTCAGACCCCTAATGTGATACATTTCTTGATTTTGTGACTAACACAGAGAAACAGATCAACTGGGAGAGCTAAACATAGACACTTGCCCTCTCATCTCTTTTTTCTATAATGTAATCTACGCCTTCCTAAAAACTGAAGGGCAGATTATTTTTAGCAAAAAGTATTTTTCTTTGAAACTCAATAAGGTCTTATAAGAGCTTGTTTTAATTTGAGACAAAGTGACAATAAAATTTCCTCAACTTCTATCCGCTAATTGGACATTTTTGTTTGTTTGTTTTTGTTTTTTGTTTTGGAATGCTGGGGATCAAATTCAGGCCCTAGTGAACTTTAGTTTTCTACCATTTAAAGGGGATAGGATTTGCCAAGTAAACCAATAATCTAAACAAGATTACGAAAATCCTACTTAGCCTAAGAAAACAAACCTCTAGAATTAAAAAAACAAACTA